AAACTTCCTCTACACATGTGCAGCCCGCAGCCAATCACTGCAGCCTCTAACATGAGGGGGCGGGGGCTTGTTCTAGAAACCTTTTCACGCTTTTATTCTGAAAGTGTCAGTGTGTCACATGTTTCCTGTTATTCAGGCAGACGCTGTAGTTTAGTAGGAGGAGGAGGAGGAGCAGGAGGGGGAGCAGGAGGAGGAGGAAGAGGAGGAGCAGCAGGAGGAGGAGGAAGAGGAAGAGCAGGAGGAAGAGGAGGAGGAGGAGGAGCAGCAGGAGGAGGAGGAGCAGCAGCAGGAGGAGGAGCAGCAGGAGGAGGAGCAGCAGCAGGAGGAGGAGCAGCGTTTGTCCTCAGACACCGGCAGAGGCGGGTGGAGTCTGAACAGGGGGGTCCCGGTCAGACCTGGTCCTGGTGATCAGATTACTCCTGACAGCAGGAGCTACCTGAGGCAGCGCTCCTCTCTCCCAGGGCCCCTGAACTACACAGCTGAATGTAACAGAAATATGGCAGAATAATCAGAATTATTAATTTAATTAACAAAATGAGAAATGTTGAATAAATTAATTCAAACAAATGTTTATTTTGTTGAGGAGATTCTTCTCGTGCAAATCTGATGAAATAAGTTTTGACTGTTCTGCCTCAGATTTGTTGTCGATATCAAACGATATGAGATTCTTTATCGTGTTATCATTTGATTATCACGATAAAAAGTTTCATGTCTTTCGATATCGATAATTATCGAGTTTGATTTCTGCTCCTGAGGGAAAGGTTAAAGGTTAACTGCGGTTTAAACTTTTCTTCACGGTCAGAACACCTGAGGCCGAACAGAGAATCACAAATCTGAGGCAGAACGTTCAAAACGATTGTGATCAAATCTTTGTCAACACGAGGAAAATCAAGTTAAAATCTCACTTTTTGGTGCGAAATGCATTCTGGGATATCTGGCTGCGTAAAAACGGGCATGGCGAGAACACGTCCGGACTTTTGAGCAGCGATTGTTGACGTTTCACAAGAACAGACAAGAATGCAGCGTGAGGAACAGCTCAGGGGCCCTCAGGGGCCCTCAGGGGCCGTCTCACAGAAAGAGTCTCAGAGAGGATTTCTCCCAGTTTGGTATCAGAGGAGCAAATCAAGCTAACTCAGTTTAGGAGTCCTGTCTTATCTCAGGTCAGCAAATCCTAAACACTCGATCTAGCATCGACTTTTATGTCTGTTACCTAGCAACCGATGCCACTTTGCTCATCGCGCCGAGCTAAACGGCTTTTTAGTCGCTGTTTTTTAAAATGAAACAGAAACAACAGCTATCACTGAACTTCAAGTCAGAGGACTCAGAGGTGTCGCTGACCTCCGTTTGAGAAATCCAAATGTAACGCCAACCTCGGTAACGCCAACCTCGCCGCATATCCAGCATCCAGCGCAGCGCTGATGCTGTCAAAAAGAAAATAAGTGCATTTACTGACAGGTGACTGTGGCTCCTCCTGCGCTCCTCAGGAACCCGACGCTGCTCGGGGAAGTAAAAAAAAAGGAGGAGTGGTTCTCAAACTTTCTCTGTCACGTCCCGAAGTTCAGAACAATCTCAAATTTAAACTTCAAAATAAAAATTAAGCATCGCGTTATTTCAGGCAGGCAACCAAGTCAAGCTCGCATCAGCTGATTCATCCGTTGGCGAATTCCATCCAAGGCGCCTTATTTCAGCTGCCACAGGCTTCCTCCCTTCAGGCCGCTCTGGTTAGTCACGTCAGCCTGCTGTCCTTCCTGTCAGACGGCCCCAGCTCGCCACCTTCAGCTAAACCTCTCTGACACTGAACTCTTGGTCATTCCGGCCGAGCGATCGATCCACCGTAACATCAAACTACTGACTCCTCAGCCAGGGTGGGGAGGAGCGCCATGACCGGCTGGCCTTCTCAGACCGCGTTGCTGCCGTCTCTCCGTCGTGCAGCTTTACTCTACACATCAGAAAAATGAGGCGTACCTCGCTCAGCACGCCACCCAGCTCCTGGTCCAGGCCGCGGTTACCTCTCTGTCTTCCAGCCTGTGCGGTCAAACCCCTACAGATGGTTCAGAGCTCAGCAGCGCGTCTGGTTTTAGATCAGCACAAAAGGACTCGTGTCCCTCCATCACCGTGTGACCTCCACTGGCTCCCCGGGGCCTCAAGTCCCTGACGCTGCTCCCGGGTCTGACCGTCTACCTAAACTCCATAATCCAAGCCTACGTTCCTTCTGGGCCACAAAGAACGCCGCCTGGCTCTGCCCTCCCTTCACACAGACCTCAGTCCCTGTTCTCATGACGCCACGATGGAACGAGTTGCCGCACGCCATCAGAGCAGCGGCGTCCCTCTCTGCAGAGAACACTTCCTCTGATAACACCTCTCACCCCTGACATGCACTTCCTGCGCTCTTCTTCTTCTTCTTCTACCAACAAGGTGGCTATTTAGCCCACTGACGCAGCGCTTACCAGCGTTGTCAGCTGTGGCCGTCGCTCCTCAGATGTTAAGTCGCCTCGGATGAAAGCGTCTGCCGCACACGAGTAAATGTAACGTAGATATGAGAAGTTCTCCTTTAACAGCTCGTCCAGCTCAGGGGAAAGAGGCGTTTCCTCGGCAGCAGCAGAAAATGTGGCGTTTGTTTCTCAAACAAAAGCAGCTGGTTCTTCATCATAAATCTGTTTCCCACAGTTCAAATATCCTGTTTTACATTTTACTGAGATTAAAAGTTCATAGCAGTTATAGCCTGGACCGTTCAGCAGCTTCAAAAGCTCTTTTATTTTACCTTTAAATGTTCATTTACAGCAAACTGCCACCGCAGAAAGACCCTGATCCAGCTCAGTTACTGAAGGTCTTTTTAGGTCTTTAAGGTAAAATGTCTCTTTTTCGGTGTTGCTGCAGCCAGACTCTGTATTTTTAATAACATTTAGATTCAGATGTAAAAGAAGAGATCAGACACACAGGAGGGTGTTAGTGACATGAGGACAGACACACAGGAGGGTGTTAGTGACATGAGGACAGACACACAGGAGGGTGTTAGTGACGACATGAGGACAGACACACAGGAGGGTGTTAGTGACGACATGAGGACAGACACACAGGAGGGTGTTAGTGACATGAGGACAGACACACAGGAGGGTGTTAGTGACATGAGGTCAGACACACAGGAGGGTGTTAGTGACATGAGGACAGACACACAGGAGGGTGTTAGTGACATGAGGACAGACACACAGGAGGGTGTTAGTGACATGAGATCAGACACACAGGAGGGTGTTAGTGACATGAGGACAGACACACAGTCAGACACACAGGAGGGGGTTAGTGACATGAGGACAGACACACAGGAGGGTGTTAGTGACATGAGGACAGACACACAGTCAGACACACAGGAGGGGGTTAGTGACATGAGGACAGACACACAGGAGGGTGTTAGTGACATGAGGACAGACACACAGGAGGGTGTTAGTGACATGAGGTCAGACACACAGGAGGGTGTTAGTGACATGAGGACAGACACACAGGAGGGTGTTAGTGACATGAGATCAGACACACAGGAGGGTGTTAGTGACATGAGGACAGACACACAGTCAGACACACAGGAGGGGGTTAGTGACATGAGGACAGACACACAGGAGGGTGTTAGTGACATGAGGACAGACACACAGGAGGGTGTTAGTGACATGAGGACAGACACACAGTCAGACACACAGGAGGGGGTTAGTGACATGAGGACAGACACACAGGAGGGTGTTAGTGACATGAGGACAGACACACAGGAGGGTGTTAGTGACATGAGGACAGACACACAGTCAGACACACAGGAGGGTGTTAGTGACATGAGGACAGACACACAGGAGGGTGTTAGTGACATGAGGACAGACACACAGTCAGACACACAGGAGGGTGTTAGTGACATGAGGACAGACACACAGGAGGGTGTTAGTGACGACATGAGGACAGACACACAGGAGGGTGTTAGTGACATGAGGACAGACACACAGGAGGGTGTTAGTGACACACAGTCAGACACCCAGGAGGGTGTTAGTGACATGAGGACAGACACACAGGAGGGTGTTAGTGACATGAGGACAGACACACAGGAGGGGGTTAGTGACATGAGGACAGACACACAGGAGGGTGTTAGTGACATGAGGACAGACACAGGAGGGTGTTAGTGACGACATGAGGACAGACACACAGTCAGACACACAGGAGGGTGTTAGTGACATGAGGACAGACACACAGTCAGACACACAGGAGGGGGTTAGTGACATGAGGACAGACACACAGGAGGGTGTTAGTGACATGAGGACAGACACACAGGAGGGTGTTAGTGACGACATGAGGACAGACACACAGTCAGACACACAGGAGGGTGTTAGTGACATTTGGACAGACACACAGGAGGGTGTTAGTGACATGAGGACAGACACACAGGAGGGTGTTAGTGACATGAGGACAGACACACAGGAGGGTGTTAGTGACGACATGAGATCAGACACACAGGAGGGTGTTAGTGACATGAGGACAGACACACAGGAGGGTGTTAGTGACACACAGTCAGACACCCAGGAGGGTGTTAGTGACATGAGGACAGACACACAGGAGGGGGTTAGTGACATGAGGACAGACACACAGGAGGGTGTTAGTGACATGAGGACAGACATACAGGAGGGTGTTAGTGACATGAGGACAGACACACAGGAGGGTGTTAGTGACGACATGAGGACAGACACACAGTCAGACACACAGGAGGGTGTTAGTGACATGAGGACAGACACACAGGAGGGTGTTAGTGACATGAGGACAGACACACAGGAGGGTGTTAGTGACGACATGAGGACAGACACACAGGAGGGTGTTAGTGACATGAGGACAGACACACAGGAGGGTGTTAGTGACGACATGAGGACAGACACACAGTCAGACACACAGGAGGGTGTTAGTGACATGAGGACAGACACACAGTCAGACACACAGGAGGGTGTTAGTGACATGAGGACAGACACACAGGAGGGTGTTAGTGACATGAGGACAGACACACAGTCAGACACACAGGAGGGTGTTAGTGACGACATGAGGACAGACACACAGACGGCCCGGGTGTCCTACCGGTCTTGCAGGGCCCCCTCCCTCTGATCTTGAGTTCTGGTCTGGAGAAAGCGGTCTCTCTGAACTGACACATGTTCATGTATGTGACTCCGTCGCTGCCGCACAGCGCCTCCTGCTCCTCACACACACACACCTCCTCCTCCTCCTCCTCCTCCTCCTCTGCTCCTCCTGCGGGCCGCGGGTCCGCCTGGCACCGCAGCCCGGTCCCGCAGAGCCCGTAGAAGACGCTGCGGTCCCCCGGGTCGCAGGCTTGACCCTCCAGGTTCCCGCACTCCTTACAGCAGCCGCAGGAGTCCAGCACCAGACCGGCCCGGCAGCCCCGGGTCTCCGGGCACAAGTCCGGCTCACACGGCCCGCAGCCGGTCCCGTTCCGCCCCCCGCCGCCTCCCAGCTCCTCATCCAGCCGGTCGTAGTCCAGCAGCGGGTCGGTGAGGGAGAACCGTCCGGGCGGCTCGGACAGCTGGTGTGGGAAGCCCCGGCATGTGTGCAGGACTAGAAAGAGACTCAGGAGAACCGACATCTTGACCCGGTCTGTGGGTTCCGTTTGGGTCCAAACACCGTCGCCGGGACAGGGTCGGGTGACGCCGGGTCGGGTCCGGTTCTTTCTCCGGTTCAACGCGACACAGCAAACCCAGAACGAGAGTCTAACAACACCCGAGACTCACATTCCTCTCAGACCCGAACCCGGAAAATAAAACCGGATCCAACATTAAGTTTAAAACAAACAGAGGAAACTTTTTATTTTAACGTTTGAATCTGGACGCGGACCGTCCGAGGTTCAAACAGCTGAGAGGCTCGCGCTGCTCCGCCGCACCGAGACGGGCACGAGACAAAACAGCCATAATAAACCTTCACACGTCCGGTCAAAGCCTTCAACGTAAAAGCCTGAAAACAGTCCAGAACACAGACCCGGACCTGCCCTGTGTGACAAACTGTTTCCACTCCTTCAGTGTGCAGTAGGTGATCATTAATATCATTTATATCATTAATAATATCATTAATATCATTACTATCATTAATAATATCATTAATATCATTTATATCATTTATATCATTAATATCATTAATAATATCATTAATATCATTAATAATATCATTACTATCATTAATATCATTTATATCATTACTATCATTAATAATATCATTAATATCATTAATAATATCATTACTATCATTAATATCATTTATATCATTAATATCATTAATAATATCATTAATATCATTAATAATATCATTAATATCATTAATATCATTTATATCATTACTATCATTAATAATATCATTAATATCATTTATATCATTAATATCATTAATATCATTTATATCATTTATATCATTAATATCATTAATAATATCATTAATATCATTAATAATATCATTAATATCATTAATATCATTTATATCATTACTATCATTAATAATATCATTAATATCATTAATAATATCATTACTATCATTAATATCATTTATATCATTAATATCATTTATATCATTACTATCATTAATAATATCATTAATATCATTAATAATATCATTACTATCATTAATAATATCATTAATATCATTAATAATATCATTACTATCATTAATATCATTAATATCATTATATCATTAATAATATCATTAATATCATTACTATCATTAATATCATTAATAATATCATTAATATCATTAATAATATCATTACTATCATTAATATCATTAATATCATTAATAATATCATTAATATAATTTAGCCTGTTTGTTTATTTGACAGCGCTCATTCATTAATCAACGGCAAAGTAAAGTAAAAAACACTGTAAATGAGCCAGAGTTAGCTCAACAGGGTACAGCGTTTGATAAACTTGGTCCGATGATGATTTGCTGAAAAGCTGCTGGCATTTACAGGCGGACTTTAATGGTCCCAGAAGCTTTTTCGTAGGCCACATTGAGCTGCACCTGGGTGAGAAATATCAGACAATCGGACTTAGAGGAAGGTGGCCTTTCAGATCTTTTAATCGTTAATTACAGCGCCACCGTGTGGTGTTTCTGTGGAACCGCGTGCGCATCATTCCCAGTTACTCTCCAAAGTATGAGGCTTCGTTAAACACATCAAATTAATTTCGTTCATAGAGTGCCTTTCAAGATTCTTTAGAGGACAAGTACGAAAGATCCTGGATCAGTAAAAACACACTTCAGGCAGGAGGTCTCGGCAGACGTTTAGCTCACAGGTAGTTTGGTGTGAAGTCTAACTCTGGAAGATCCTTCTCATGATTTGAATGAAATCACTTCAGAAAGGGACAGAAACAAGTTTCTTTACTGTATTTAGGAAGAAATCCTGTCTTTCTTTAGGAATTTAGCTGCTACAGAAGCTGATTTATTAACTGGTTTCCAACAGAGAAATAACATCACCTTTTATTTTGCAAGGGTGGAAAAATCCTAATAGTTTAGCTTTTATTTTGAAAGCGCAGCGCTCTTATTTCCGGTCTTGTTCTGTCTTACCTGACAGAGTCTTTCAGGACCGCAGACGGTAGCAGGCAGCTGCTGTCTGCCCCCCACCCAGACCTGACAGCTGTTAAAGTCATCACCAGGTCTGGAAAGGTTCCCAGGGTCCTCCAGGAGGTTTCCAGGCCTCTCACAGGCAGTCCTCTGAGTTTTCCAGGAAGCTTTAGGGGTCCTTGTAGGAGAATGTCTTATTGTCGAAAGAGACTCCAGGTTTCAGGGCCCTTCTTGGATCGAGAATCTTAAAGGAGGTCCCCTGGGGTCTGTTCTTGAGGTCTAGGGTTCCTCGTGGAACATGGGAAACAAACGCTGGGGGGAAATCCAACCACCATGACCCCCTCCCTACTCTGACGTTGGAGTTATTTATAGCGGTCAGCAACGACGCCTCCCCGTGCGTTTAGAACTAAAGTCTCGACAACGGGGGGCTTGAAAAGGCTTCAGGATGAGGTTCCTCTGAACGGAGGATCAGAACCCGGAGTGTGAAACATTAAATATTTTTACTGACGTTACGCGAGTGACCTAAGATAACTTGTGTGTTAACTGAACCCGAACCACGATCCATTCCCACCTGCAACGTTTCAATATGGCGATGTTTCGAAACGCAAGCGTTTTATTTTGAAAGTTTGAGGTCAGAGGTTTTATCGAGAGCAGAGACAAACACAGGTAGATGCAGAACTAATCTCTTGGATGGTTCCTCAAACGTGTCACTTCAGTTGAGTCTCGTTGCTGCTGACCGCCGTTGTGGCCACCTGGCTGCCGCTGGAGGCCCGCATCTCGTGGCGCTGGTGGTCAAGTCTTCTTCAACACAGCATGATTCACGTTCACGTTAGAGGAACAGAGACCAGGAAGCAGGGGAGGCTTTAGGGCGGAGCTACAAGCTGATTGACAGGTCGCTACAGCAGTGACCTGCAGCAGTGCGTCACGCCTAAAAAAACAAGATGGCGACGTGACGCCAAACTGCCAAACTGGAGGCTTCGGAACGGTAGCCCACAAACAAACGGGTGGCCTCACCGTGGTCACGCCCACTTCTTCTAAACAGTCTGTGTGTTCCGCCCAGGTAACCTCTGTCCTGGGTCCCTGCTGTTCTGCCTGGGTGACCCCGTGTGTAGCAGGAGCTCGTTAAAGTCTCTCCTCAGACTCTGGACTTTAAACACTCTCTGATTTAAGTTTGTTTTTCTGTAAAGCTGCCAGTTTGTCACTTTTATAGCTTCACCACTTCAAAGTGAAACGCTGAAAATAACCTGGCGGCGGCGGAGCGGCGGCGGTCTGTCACACAGAAATAGAGCTGTAATGGAGGGTTTGCGGCGGCTGGTGTTACGCTGCAATCTGAGGTATGTAGTCCTGCCCCCTGATGGAGGGATGCTGCTGTCCGGCGCAGACACACACTCTAACACGGTTATTCTGAACCGGCTCTCAGGTGAACCCGGTCTTTACGTTGTGTCACTAAACATGTTCTTCATTTCACTTTCTACACCCGCCTGTGTTTAAAGTTATATTCTCAGTAGTTAGAGGTGATAAGTCAGCGATAATAAGGCTCCTTTTATACTCACGCGTGCTTCTTCTGACTTCATCTGGGACTTTTTTATTTACCACTGAACTTTAACAAAGTATTTTTCATGTCCCTAAACGTCCCTACGTCTTTTAGTCACGTCAACATGTTAAATCTGTCTTTGGGCAAAAACACATTTCCACAAATATTAAGTGAGCAGTTCTGTCCAGGACGTTTCTAGAAAATAAAGTTTTACCCAAACAAGTACATCGTCAGTAATATTGTAATAACAATTTAGCATTTTATTTTGAAAGCCAGAATCAGAGTCACTTGTTAGACATGAGGTCACCGCTGAGTGATTGACGGCAGGTCACAAACGCTCACATGTGCAGCTCTTCTGTCAGACTTTAATAAAGTCCTGCTTCTAAACTTAGACTTCAGTAAAATTAAACACGTCTTAGCTGCAGTTTGGGAGATAAAAAAAAAATTCATTTGATGAGATAAACACTCTGAGATGGTTGTATTTATATGAAAAGTGCCACAAATGGTACATAATAAAAAGATTTTACTAAATCAAATGACACATTAATTAAAACCTTAATTTAGGCTCAATTAAACAAAACATAAAACGAAAGTTCAGCAGACACGAGCTTTTATTATGAAAAACACTTTTAAAGGAACATTCCACCAGATGATGTCACAGTGATGTCATCAAACATACAGTCAGGAGGTGTGGCGTTTGCCAGGCGGACTCTCTCCAGATGCATTGTGGGAGATGTAGGATCCACATTTCTGGACTGAAAGTCAGGATGTCTCCGCCTCTGCTGCTCCAGTTCAGTTTTTACGCTGCTGTCTCCAAACGTCCACCTACAGCTCGATGATGCAGCAGCTCGTCACGCATTTACTTATGTCCGCCCGTAGTGGCAGAAGAAGTCGGGTGACTAAGTCTGTGTAAGGAGGTGGTGGGAGGAGACGGGCGGGGGGCGTGAGGCGGCGTGGTGCGAGCGTCCAGTATGGCCCGATGGGGGACGTGAGGAAGACGGCATTTTAAGATTTTTCCTTTAGATTATTTGAAGGTGTTTTTACTGGTTGAGCGGTTTGGACTGACAGAACAAACGCAGTGAAGGAGTCACTTTGGGCTCTGGGTCACCGTGGCAACATTTTAATTATATTATCAGTTAATGGAGGAAATAATCAGCAGATTAATCAAGTAACAATAATCTAAAGAGAAACAGCCACAGGGGACATTTTTCATTCTGCACTGAGCACTTTTATTTTTTATACTTTAAGTACATTTTCCTGATTATACTTACTTATTAACACTTTCAATGCAGTACTTGTGACAGAGTACTTGTGACAGAGTACTTTTACAGTGTACTTTTACTTCAGTAAAGGATCTGAATACTTCGAGCACCACTGAAAAGAAGACGGCTCTGCTGATTTGTTTCCAGACCTTCGTCACATTCGTGTCGTATTAATGAGAGAAATTTGCACTATTAATATTTTTTCATGTCCCTTTTTTTAAAGTTCTCTTCACGCTGACGCTGTGACTCCCCGTGTCCGTGTTGTTAATAAAGCTTTCTAACAGTGTTGTTTTTTTAGTTTATTATCTAAGCAGTACGGTAACATCTCTCACGTGCGACGGGATGTCTCATGCAGGCTTTGGTCGGCGTCACTGTTCGACCTCTGGCTTACCCCCTTGGTGCGAATCAGGCAGCCCGCAGCCAATCATGACAGACTCTACTGCGAGGGGGCGTGGCTTGAGGTGCTACAGGCCGCAGCCGGACCTTATTGGGGTTGATGGACGGGACAAACTAACACTGGACTCTCAGCAGGAGGCCGAGGTTCGAGTCCCGCGTGAAACAGAGTCACCGCTTATTTCAAGTCACGCCTGCGGCCGACCTGGTGGTACAGGTCGTATTCGTGGTTAAGGTGAGAGGACGAGTTGCTTTCCGATCAGAAACACTAACGAGTATTTATATTTGTGTTTGTTTAAGTTTCCCTTCTTGTTGTTTTCAGTGCAGCTGATTTAAAAAGGTCTAAAATCTGTGAGGACTGAACCAGTTCAGACCGGATTCTGGAGGTGCTGCCCGTCACGGCCCCGGGGTCATTACCCTCCTTCCTCCCCCCTCCTCCTCCTCCTCCTCCCCCCCCGGTGGGGAGCAGATGTGGGAGATGAACAGACAGTGGTAGTTCCACAGCAGCAGCAGCAGCATCAGCAGCAGACTGCAGAGCAGCAGGACCACCAGCAGGAGGCGACGCCGAGACGCCGCCGGAGGAGAGGGGGGGGCGCCACAGCTGACGGGGAGAGGAAGAAGGGGAGGAGGAGGAGGAGAGGAGGAGGAGGAGCAGCGGTGGAGCCACCAACAGAAACGTTTGAGTCCAGATGGTTTGAGATCTGATCTGCTCTGAGACGAAGACATGGTCCTGGAGGTCCTGGAGGTCCTGGAGGAGGTCCTGGAAGGTGACAAACAGCTTGATGATCTAACGGCGTTCAGCTGTGAAGAGAAGAAACAGAAAGATGAGTTCAGCTCCTCTGATGTCGCTGCTTCTTCTTCTTCTGCGTCTCTTTTTAACTCTGAAGCTCCTGAAGCAGAACGAGCTTCTGAAACCAGGAGGTGAAAATACATCAGAGCTCCTCACAGCCGCTCCTCCTCCTCCTCCTCCGCTTTGTTTTCATCTCTAAAAATACCATGTAGTTACCACGGCAACGGACCGAAGGGCTTCAGCGTTACTGTGACGACCACTGCGGGGGGGAGGAGAGGAGGATGAGGGAGGAAAAAAGAGGGGAGGAGAGGAGAAGAAAGGAAAGGAGGGAAGGGGAGAGGATGAGGGAGGAGAAAAGAGGGGAGGAAAGGAGGAGAGACGAAATGAGACTACAGGGTAAGAAAGGAAAAAGAGGGGAGAGGGAGGAAAGAAGAGAAAGAGAGGATAAGGGAGGAAAAAAGAGGGGAGAGGGAGGAAAGAGGAAGAAAGGAGGGGAGGAGAAAAGAGGAAAGGAAAGGAGGGAAGGGGAGAGGATAAGGGAGGAGAAGAAAGGAGGGGAGGAAAGGAGGAGAGACAAAAGGAGACTAGAGCGTAAGGGAGGAGAAAAGCAGGGAGAGGAAGTAAAGAAGGGAAAGAGGATAAGGGAGGAGAGAAAAGGAGGGGAGGAAAAAGAGGAAAGGAAAGGAGGAGAGACGAAAGGAGACGAGAGGGTAAGGGAGGAGAGAAAATGCGGGGAGGAGATGATAAATGTGCGCTGGTTAAATATTCACAGAGCAGCGGATACGAGTTGCCTCAGGTCGCCATCAGCTTGTAGCCCCGCCCTAAAGCCTCCCCTGCTTCCTGGTCTCTGTTCCTCTAAATGGGACCATAATTTACTAAATGAACATCATGCTGTGTTGAAGAAGACTTGAAACTAGCGACTGAGACCAGAAACTCATCAGGAAAGTGTTTACTGAGGGAATAAATCAGCTGACAAGTAGAAACATTTTCTTCCTGCAGCCGCTAGAGTCGCCCCTGCTGGCTGTTAGAGAGGACGCAGGTTTAAGTCGCCCCCTGCTGGCTGCTAGAGAGGACGCAGGTTTAAGGCGCCCCCTGCTGGCTGCTGGAGAGGACGCAGGTTTAAGTCGCCCCTGCTGGCTGCTGGAGAGGACGCAGGTTTAAGTCGCCCCCTGCTGGCTGCTGGAGAGGACGCAGGTTTAAGTCGCCCCTGCTGGCTGTTAGAGAGGACGCAGGTTTAAGTCGCCCCCTGCTGGCTGCTAGAGAGGACGTAGGTTTAAGTCGCCCCCTGCTGGCTGCTGGAGAGGACGCAGGTTTAAGTCGCCCCCTGCTGGCTGCTGGAGAGGACGCAGGTTTAAGTCGCCCCCTGCTGGCTGCTAGAGAGGACGCAGGTTTAAGTCGCCCCCTGCTGGCTGTTAGAGAGGACGCAGGTTTAAGTCGCCCCCTTCTGGCTGTTAGAGAGGACGCAGGTTTAAGTCGCCCCCTGCTGGCTGCTGGAGAGGACGCAGGTTTAAGTCGCCCCCTGCTGGCTGCTAGAGAGGACGCAGGTTTAAGTCGCCCCCTGCTGGCTGTTAGAGAGGACGCAGGTTTAAGTCGCCCCCTGCTGGCCGCTAGAGAGGACGCAGGTTTAAGTCGCCCCCTGCTGGCTGTTAGAGAGGACGCAGGTTTAAGTCGCCCCCTGCTGGCTGCTGGAGAGGACGCAGGTTTAAGTCGCCCCCTGCTGGCTGCTAGAGAGGACGCAGGTTTAAGTCGCCCCCTGCTGGCTGTTAGAGAGGACGCAGGTTTAAGTCGCCCCCTGCTGGCCGCTAGAGAGGACGCAGGTTTAAGTCGCCCCTGCTGGCCGCTAGAGAGGACGCAGGTTTAAGTCGCCCCCTGCTGGCCGTTAGAGAGGACGCAGGTTAAGTCGCCCCTGCTGGCTGCTGGAGAGGACACAGGTTTAAGTCGCCCCCTGCTGGCTGCTAGAGAGGACGCAGGTTTAAGTCGCCCCCTGCTGGCCGCTAGAGAGGACGCAGGTTTAAGTCGCCCCTGCTGGCTGCTGGAGAGGACACAGGTTTAAGTCGCCCCCTGCTGGCTGCTGGAGAGGACGCAGGTTTAAGTCGCCCCCTGCTGGCTGTTAGAGAGGACGCAGGTTTAAGTCGCCCCCTGCTGGCCGCTAGAGAGGACGCAGGTTTAAGTCGCCCCCTGCTGGCCGCTAGAGAGGACGCAGGTTTAAGTCGCCCCCTGCTGGCCGCTAGAGAGGACGCAGGTTTAAGTCGCCCCCTGCTGGCTGTTAGAGAGGACGCAGGTTTAAGTCGATCCCTGCTGGCTGCTGGAGAGGACGCAGCTTTAAGGCTCTTAAGGTGCCGGAGGTTCCTGTTTTATTTGGCCACTGTGTTACAGCTGCTCACGGGCCCCACGGCAGGCGTCCTGGAAGTTGGCCAATCAGAAAGGATTTTGGGAGAGTGGGCCTTTAAAGAGACAGGATCTAAAGCGGCTTGTTTCAGACAGGATGAACTGCATGATGGGTTAGTAGAAGGTGAGGGAGCTGCTGCCAGAACAAACACAGAGCTGGAGACGAGCCCCCCGGGTCCTCTTTGATGTTTAACACTGTTCTTTTGTTTCTGACATCTTGTGGGGCCGTTTCACCTCCACTATGTGTGAACCCTTTCCACTAAACCTCACTCAAAAATCCACAGTTGTTAGTCGCACCTCTTTAAATAAAGTTACTACATGTGAAGAACCTGACGTGGCGTATGGGGCTCGACTCACCTCTTCTTGTCTCGTTGACAGCAGCAGCAGCCTCGGCCAATCAGATCAGCTGATCAGAAGAAGTCAGATCCATTCGTTCGATCAACAGGAGGTGATCAGATCCAGACTCACTGCCGGAGGCCGGTGATGTGCTGAGCGGCAGACGGAGGCGGCCGAGTGGACGGAGGCGTCCTGTCCTCTATCAGGTCCTCAGCGGGGGGGCTGCTGCGACCTTCAGACCCAGAGTCAACAACAGACGCTTAACTCCACCTGCTGTCCAGAAAGAGCTGAATAATATGAGCTGATGAACAGCTGCTGATTTCCACATCCAGCACCTACAGAGCGACGCGATCGTTTGTTCTAACTGTAGAATGAAAAAACAAAGTCGTGTTTCCATCAGTCCAGAGGACACCGACAGTCTGGAGACTCACCCCGAAATCTAATGATTTACGTTACTGGGACTTTTGTCCCTATAAGGACGCCGAGGCCCCAGAGCGTGACTGTGCAAACAGTACGTGAGGAATACTCGCCAACACACGCACACATCCACACACACACAGGGTTGTGAAATATCAAATAAAGGAAGAAAAGCCAAATCAAACTGAAAAACCAGGTTTACCACAGTTCATCTGTGTCAGTGCACTGTAAAAACAAACAAATACTGTAAAACTACAACTGCAAAAAACTAACAACTTCAAGAGCTGTACAAACTGAAATGACTACAACAGTACTGTAAATACTACAACAGTAGTGTAAATACCACAACTGTACTGTAAATACTATAACTGCAAATACTACAACTGCAATAAACTAAAAACTGCAAGACCCGTAAAAACTGCAGATACTACAACAGTACTGTAAATACTACAACAGTAGTGTAAATACCACAACTGTACTGTAAATACTATAACTGCAAATACTACAAGTGCAAAAAACTGCAAGATCTGTAAAAATAGTAAATACTACAACAGTACTGTAAATACCACAACTGTACTGTAGAAACTACAACTGCAAAATGATACAAACTACGAAAAGTTAATAAACTACAAAAACTGTAAACTGAAACAATTACAAGAACTACAAGACCTGAAAAAACTAGAAAGTGTGTAAAAATTGTTTAAACGACTGCATAAACTACAAAAACTGTAAAAACTACAAGAACTACAAGACCTGTAAAAACTACAAAACGTGCAAAAATTGTTAAAACTGCATAAACTACAAAAACTGAAACAACTACAAGACCTGTAAAAACTACAAAGCGTGCAAAAATTGTTAAAACTGCATAAACTACAAAAACTGAAACAACTACAAGAACGACAAGACCTGTAAAAACTACAAAACGTGCAAAAATTATTAAAACTGCAGAAACTACAAAAACTGTAAAAACTACAAGAACTACAAGACCTGAAAAAACTAGAAAGTGTGTAAAAATTGTTTAAACGACTGCAGAAACTACAAAAACTGTAAAAACTACAAGAACTACAAGACCTGTAAAAACTACAAAACGTGCAAAAATTGTTAAAACTGCATAAACTACAAAAACGGAAACTACAAGAACTACAAGACCTGTAAAAACTACAAAATGTGGAAAAATGGTTAAAACTGCATAAACTACAAAAACTGTAAAAACTACAAGAACTGCAAGACCTGTAAAACTACAAAATGTGGAAAAATTGTTTAAACTGCATAAACTACAAAAACTGTAAAAACTACAAGAACTGCAAGACCTGTAAAAACTACAAAATATGCAAAAACTGTTGAAAAAACTGCATAAACTACAAAAACTGTAAAAACTACAGAGTGTGTAACAATTGTTTAAATGACTGCATAAACTACAAAGACTGTAAAAACTACAAGAACTGCAAGACCTGTAAAAACTACAGTGTGTAAACACTGTTGAAACAACCGCATAAACCGTAAAAACTACAAAGTGTGTAAAAATTGTTTAAACAACGGCATAAACTACAAAAACAGTAAAAACTACAAGACCTGTAAAAACTACAAAACGTGCAAAAAAAATTTAAACTACTGCATAAACTACAAAAACAGTAAAAACTACAAGACCTGTAAAAACTACAAAATGTGGAAAAATTGCTTAAACAACTGCATAAACTACATAAACTGTAAAAGCTACAAGACCTGGAAAAACTACAAAATGTGAAAAATTATTAAAACTGCAGAAACTACAAGACCTATAAAAACTACAAAGTGTGTAAGAATTGTTTAAACTACTGCATAAACTACAAAAACAGTAAAAACTACAAGACCTGTAAAAACTACAAAATGTGCAAAAATTGTTTAAAGTACTGCATAAAACTACAAAAACAGTAAAAACTACAAGAACTGCAAGACCTGTAAAAACTACAGTGTGTAAAAACTGTTGAAACAACTGCATAAACTACATAAACTGTAAAAGCTACAAGACCTGTAAAAACTACAAAATGTGGAAAAATTGTTTAAACTACTGCATAAACTACAAAAACAGTAAAAACTACAAGACCTGTAAAAACTACAAAATGTGGAAAAATTGCTTAAACAACTGCATAAACTACATAAACTGTAAAAGCTACAAGACCTGTAAAAACTACAAAATGTGGAAAAATTGCTTAAACAACTGCATAAACTACATAAACTGTAAAAGCTACAAGACCTGGAAAAACTACAAAATGTGAAAAATTATTAAAACTGCAGAAACTACAAGACCTATAAAAACTACAAAATGTGGAAAAATTGTTTAAACTACTGCATAAACTACAAAAACAGTAAAAACTACAAGACCTGTAAAAACTACAGTGTGTAAAAACTGTTGAAACAACTGCATAAACTGTAAAAACTACAGTGTGTAAAAACTGTTGAAACAACTGCATAAACTACAACTGTAAAAACTGCAAAATTATAAAAACTATAAAAAGTGTAAAAACGGCATGTTAGGCCCGGTCTAGGGAAAACCTGAAAAAATGCCCCCTATCCCCCCCTCCTTCCAACTCCGAGAAATGACTAATCACATCTCAGCCACATCTCTTCTTCACAGAGCTGAATTTACTCACCAGTCTTGGAAACATCGATGTCGGGGAGAACGTGACCAAACTAACAAACAAAACAATTCACTAACTTGTTAAACAGAACAAAGAACAACAGAAAACCCAGGCTGCTCACCTGCCTTCCTCCGTCAACAGCAGAAAACAGGTTTAACAGAAACAGCTTCTCCCCCCAGAGGGTTTCCAGCAATGAACTTTAAAGTTATATCCTACACAACTCTCGTCTTACATTCTGCACAAATCTCACAGGACTCAGGAATGACTAAACAGCACGGCAGGGAGTCAGGATAAAGGAGGAGACCTTGCCTCACCAAGGCAGGGAGGACTATCAGCAGAGAACATGCACACAGTCACACCCAAACTATGACTCAGGTCATCACACTGCAAGAACTGTAAATCGATCAGCTGCAACTCCAACATGATCCCCTCAGTTTCAGTCGCCAGTGTTTGAAGCAGCCTACACCTGTGAAGGTCTTTCAGCAAGATGACAAGAAAACAACTTTTGAATTGCTTGTTTTCTGAATGGAGTTCTGGTTGATCAGGGCTATGCCATGCTCACTTGTTCATAGTAAAGTCCAACCGATGGCCACAAATTTTCTGAACTTATCTGGCAGTTCAGCTCTCTCTCTTTCTTTTCTGCTGCTTCGTCCACTTTTTATCCACAAAAATGAAAATAAAAAGTGATTTTAATAATCCAGGTGTTTACTCCGCCCCCGCCTCGCTCCTCCAGAGCGCCTCAGCAGCTGTCTGTCAGCAGCGTCCCTCTGCTCCACCCAGTTCTCTCCAAACAACACTCTGAAAAGCTCAGGGCAAGCTGAATATTTTCTACTCACACAAATGATTTCCCTTTCTCTTTCCGTGATAACACAGTTAAAAGTATAATACAGGAAACCTTCCAGGCCCGCAGCTGCTGTCACTCTGCTGGAGTCACTGAGGTTTGCAAGACTTTATTCAGTTTCTTAGAATGTAAACTCTGTTATGATAGTTAGAGCAGGACTGTGTGTGTTTGTAATGGCTGAAGTTGTGTTCTGTAAGCTGCTGTCTAACCTGGGATTCAAACCCTGCTGCCACTTTGGCACGGAGGTATAAAGCATTATGACTGCTGATCCTATAACACATGATGACTTTACAAACCTTGTTATTAGCTGTTTGCATGATTATAAACAATAAAAACAATAAAAATTGCAAAAACTGTCAAACTATAAAAACTATAAAACTGCAAAACTATAAAACTGCAAAACTATAAAAACAATAAAACTGCAAAAACGATAAAACTATAAAAACAATAAAAGAATAAAACTGCAAAACTATAAAAACTATAAAACTGCAAAAACAATAAAACTGCAAAACTATAAAAACTATAAAACTGCAAAACTATAAAAACAATAAAACTGCAAAACTATAAAAACTATAAAACTGCAAAACTATAAAAACTATAAAACTGCAAAAACTATAAAAACAATAAAACTGCAAAAACAATAAAACTGCAAAACTATAAAAACTATAAAACTGCAAAAACTGCAAAAACTATAAAACTGCAAAAACTATAAAAACAATAAAACTGCAAAACTATAAAACTGCAAAAACAATAAAACTGCAAAACTATAAAAACTATAAAACTGCAAAAACTATAAAAACATTAAAACAATAAAACTGCAAAACTATAAAAACTATAAAACTGCAAAAACTGCAAAAACTATAAAAACATTAAAACAATAAAACTGCAAAACTATAAAAACTATAAAACTGCAAAAACTATAAAAACTATAAAACTATAAAAACAATAAAACAATAAAACTGCAAAACTATAAAAACAATAAAACTGCAAAACTATAAAACTGCAAATTTACAAAAACAATAAAACTGCAAAACTATAAAACTGCAAATTTATAAAAACAATAAAACTGCAAAACTATAAAAACAATAAAACTGCCAAAACTGCAAAAACTATAAAAATAAAACTGCAAAAACAATAAAACTATAAAAACTATAAAACTGCAAAAACTATAAAATAAATAAATAAATAAAATAAACGTGTATAGAGCTGTGTAAAGCCTGATAAAAGCGTTATAATGTAATGCATTGAAGATTTGACCATTGAAAGTGTTACCAACATTTGGACGCGTTCTCTCTTTGTATTGTGTTTCTTTAATGCATAAAGGGATAAATTCAGTCACATGTAAACGGGCTGTTCGGGGTTGTGTTCAAAAACAGACAGAAATACAGTTAATCTGAAGTAAATGTTACCAGAAACTTTAATCTCAACATATGCAGATGTTCAATAAGTGCTGTACACAAATGTTACATTTCATCAGGTCTCACTAAACACAGATTTAGTTTCTATCTCCCTAATAATTAGAACCAAATCACACTGTTCTCTCCAGGAACTTTTACAGCTACATCTCACGTCCTGTCAGGAGGTGCGTTCTGGTGGGACCAGTAAAACGAGGGTTACTGGTTTCTCTGGTCTTTACGGTCAAACGCCAGAAACAACCTCCGACAGAGTTTAGCAAAAAAAATAATAATTAACCTTCAGGTGACCAAACAGAAACTGAAGGATCATATTGCACTAAAACAGCTGATGTCGACGCCTGGAGAGGTCAAAGGTCGACTGCTCACATTCCTGGACAAAGTGCTGCACAGAGGGAGGAAGGAGGAAACTTCTTCTTCTACAGTTTCAGTGTTTACGAGACAAAATAAATAAAAAACGCACATCCAAAAATATCACGTCTGTACAGAAACACGACTTCCTCTATTATTTAACCGTATAACAAACTGACCTCAGATCAGTTCACACGTGATTATAGATTTAGTACAAACAGCAGCGAGACGACGCCATCATCTTCATCACCTGAACAGCAGGAGAAACTCTTCAAACAGGAAGTCGAATCAGCGTTTTTACATCAACACAAACCAAAGAAATCATGAAAAAGCAAATAAAACCTCATGACATCAGAGAATAACCATCAGGGTGAGCTGCACGGGCACGGGTCAACTTTAAAGAACCACTTTTAAAAGTTTGCTGAACAAGATCACGTCTGATGGAACTCTTAAACATGAAGCAGTGAGTACAATTAAACTGTACACACATGTATACACACACTATATATATACTACTCTTATACTCGAGCGACTCCGGGGCCCCGACGAGCTGTTCAGTTAGAAGTTAGTAATTAGCTGTGATGGTAACTTGATTAACCACAGTGAGCGATATATCACCTGAAACTAGACTTTTACCTTTGGGCCCCTCTACAACACGGGGCCTCAGGATGATGGAATGACACAGGTGTTGCCTTCAGGGTCCCTTTTGCACAGTTGTAAATTTAGCTTTCAGTGCAGGCACGTTTTTACACACAGGTTAGCTTGTTAGCATTAGCATGTAAAGAAAGCTAAAGCGTGACCTGAAAGACTTCCTGTCGAGGCTGCAGTCACACGATATCTACAACGCGCTGCATTGTGTGCGGGGTCGGTGTTTGTACAGAGAGGTGAAGTTTACTGAGATAAAAAAGGAAGGACAGTAAATAAAGTTCAGCGAGTCTGAAAGCTGCCGCCGTTTAAACGTCCGGCTGCTTTTTATTTGACCTTTATTTCACCAGGCGAGTTGTTCAAGAACAGATTCTTATTCACAGTAACAAAGACCTGAGGTTAAATCAACATTACATAAACGGATCGGCTTTCTCTCATTTTAAATTCCCACGACTTCCTCGACGCCGTAAATAAACGCCACGTTCTGCACGTTACATATACAGAACTTCTGCCCTACTCGCGTTCTCACCTCGCGTTTCTCAGCATACTGCTCTGATGTTGCACATATTTATTTTTTTATAAATATAGTTTTCATTTCCTCCCTCAGTGCTACGACTGTAGACTTTGTTCTGATTACGCCATGTGCGGTTTCCTCATGTTGTGTGTGCAGTGACGAGGAGCTGCATGTCGTTGTGAAATCCTGCGGTGTGTAGCGACCAAAAAAAAAAACAACCTTGAACCTTAAAACTCAGATTTCATCCCAGTTTCCAGTCTTTCTACACATTTTACCAAAGCAGCGCCGGCGTGGCGCCCTGAGGATGAATAATATGTAATAATACATGTTGGTCAGCTGCTATTAAAATAAATAAATCACAAGACTAAATATTGTAAAAGAAATGTTTTAAACTGGGAAACAGTGTGAAGCTCTGTATTCATGTTCCTGGGTGGAAGTGAACGCATCACATGTAGCTCTTAAATAACGGCGTGTTGTTTCATGAATATGCGGCTCATCAGCATCAGAGGATCTCTTGTTCCCTCTTAAACTCGTATCAGCAAGAAGACCAGATAAATAAAGTTTACCCCGGCAGGTGCAGCTCACCTGTAAAACAGTATTAAAATGTGAAGTGAACCGAGCCGAACGTCACTGAGAACATGTACAGATTATTCTGTACGACAGTGAAATAATTCTGGCTGCAGATCTTTGAACCCTTGTGGCCGCAGTCAGCTGCTCTCCAGCTAAAATCAATATTTCTTCTTCAGTAAACATTGATCTTCCACCTGAGCAGACCTGCGGCGTTCACGTCGGGTCACTTCAGTTTAAACTCTGCTCGTTTCCTCCAAAGAGACAAACCGGAGCTTTTTAAAGTGGAAGTAAAATGTGAGTCTCTGGAGAATCAGCCTGCAGAGAAAGTGACGATGACCACGATGATGAAAACGATCCAATAAACTGAAGGAACAGAAAAACTCTTTGTCCCCCAGAGTCCAGCTGATCTCTGGAGGATCTGATCTGAGAGCAGCAGAGACGTTTGCATCAGGTCTGCTCGCTCGTTTTCACATTAAACTAAAGAAAAAAACCTTCAAAATAAAAGCCCTTAGGCATGTGGTTAACTTCCTACTGCCAGTGGTGGACAGTAACTAAGTACCTTTACACCATATAAGTACAAATTTGAGGTATTTGTACTTTGAGTATTTTCTTACTTTCTACTCACACAATACACATGAAGACTTTATAAAATATGTTTTGTTATAAATTAAACTCCAAAAGTTTATACAAGTACAGCTGCTACATTCGTTGATTGACAAACATTTTGATGGAAACTATTTTGATAATCATTGAAGTCTTTTTCATGTAAAAACATTTGAGGATTTGCTGCTTTTTCTTTTTAATTATTTGAATGTATTTTTAATCACTTTGAGGTTTGGACTGTCACGTTGTGCTCCGGGTAACGGACAACATTTCTCACCATTTTCAACATTTTTACAATCAATTAATGGAGATATTAAGCAGTTAAATTCAAAATGATAAAAGTCATTAGTTGCAGTCTGATATAAAACAGTTCAACCTCAACAAAATCCTGCTTTATATGCATGAGGAATAATAATGTAATGATCTAATTATAACAGTCACAGGGAATATTTTTCTTTTAATACTTTAAGTAGCCTACATTTCCCGGATTATACCTATGTACTTTAACTTAAGTAACATTTTCAATGCAGTACTTTTACTTGTAACAGAGTATTTTTACAGTGAGGTATTAGTACTTTTACTTTAGTAAAGGATCTGAATACTTCATCCACCGCTGCCTACTGCAGAACTGTACGTTTTTATTGATCATTTAAGCCACAAAGACCATTTTTCTAGTTTCTCAAATGTGAACATTTCTGGGTTTTTTGTCTTTATTGATACTAAATTAAACATGTCTGGGGTTTGGATTTGATTGATTGTCACCGTAAAACTCTGGGGATAATCGTAATCACGGATAATAAAATAGCCTTTTGAGGTACACTGGCTTTCGAATTAGCATTGATGTGATTAAATAGCCTTATCTGGTACTTTAGCATTAGCATAACCAATGGTTTGTAGTGTTGCGTGCGTGTGTAACATCATTGTGTTTAGAAATGCTGTTATGTACTTTATACAGTTACTAGCCTGTTAGACTTGGTACACATGATTAGCATTAGCATTAGCCATGTTTGTCATTTTCTAAAACCTTGTTATCAGTGTAGTTTAGAGACAGGAAACTATCACTACTTTCCAACCCACTTTAGCCTTATCTGGAAAATTAGCATCAGCTTATCAACGTTCAAAAAGGCTGCTATCACTGTGGATTTGAAATTACAATTAACAATTAGCCTTGTCTCGTACATTAGCGTTAGATTTAACATTAGCTGTGTAGGTCTTACAAATATTTAGAAACCCTGTTAGTACAGTAGTTCAGGGATGGGAATAGAAACCCATGGTTAGACCTATATGGTAAATTAGCACTAGCTGTTTTGGTTCAAAGTACAGATAGCTGACAATGTTTAAATAATTATTACTTTTTTTCACCGAGTCATATAGTTTCCTTGGCCTGGTAACAAATGTGTGGTGGCCAGCTACCGTCCCGCCGCCCGGTGTTTGGAAACCATCAGGGCGATGCTGCGTTCATGTCGTGTCATGAAATCATTATTACAAGTTTCTTATTTGTGTATTTTGTTTACGTTCAAGATAAAACGATATCATCTCCGACTTGGCACTTAATATTTATAATCTTATTAGGCTAAAGTCCATCGTTTAGGGTCATATATGGCTATAGTATTAGCATTTAACACTTGGGAAACGGATTTATAAATATTTAGAAATCCTCTTATCACTGTAGTTTATTAACGGGGAACAGACAACTTAGGGAAACTTTACCTGGTATAGTAGCATTAGCATAGCAGTGGTATTAGCATTAGTTTGATAAATTCAGGAAACATGTTATCACTGCACTTTAGGTACCAAAAAAGGACGACTACAGTTAGCCATATGAGGTAGTATCAGCCAACTATTAGCATTAGTTGTGATGGTCTTTATAAGGCATAGAAATGCTATCACTGTAGCTTAGAGACGGGAAAAGGATGATTACAGTTAGCTGGTCCAACAGTATTAGCATTAGCAGTGTTGGTCTCAGTGATCAAGCTATCAGTGTCATTCAGAGATGGGCTAGCTTGTTAGCTTTAGCTCCTGTGTGAGCACTAGCGCCAGTTGGCCTGAGTCACAGTCAGATATTGTATTATCCATGTGGGTCAGAGAAACAAACGACTAGCCTGTTAGCTTCAGCTGCTATCTAAGTGTTAGCCATGTTGATCTTCAGTTGGTCCAATAAAAACAGCAGTAGTTTCTGAGTTATTTGGAGTTTTTCTTACACTTTTCAAATTTAAGTCTGTAACTAAACTCTCATTCAAAGTCACCTGGATCACATTTAGCTAAAAAAGTGTTAATAAAGACAAACTGTGTGAAGTTTGGAGTCTCTGCAGGCTGATTTTCATCAATATTTTACAGAAGATTTAAAGTTAATGTTCTAACACTTTAAAAAGGACATTAACAGGATCGTTCCTTGTTCTCAGTGAGGCTCCCAGCTCAGGCCCGTTGTACTGATCATGCACATGTGTGTTTTCTACAGAACAACCTTAACTATCAGTGACAGGTTAACTTTTAGAGACGGCAGGTACGTCGCTTCTGCAGCGTGAAAACCTCCTAACTCCAGCGGGCCTGTGTGAGCAGGCCTGTGAGGAGTTAGGAGGTTTTCACAGGACATCAGTTTCTGTTGTTGGCAGGTTGGAGTTACAGTGTTGTGGAGGTAGACAGAGACTGACATCATCAGCAGAGACACAGTGGAGGTGGAGCAGTGACTGCATTTCCCATCATGCAGTGGGACTGTCGGGGGACAGTGGGCGGAGCCTCTGGTGCAGGAAGTATTTTCTAACCTGTAAATTCTGGTCATTTACAGGATAAGGGAATATACAAACAAAAACTAATAATTTGTAGAAAACATGACTTAAATTGAGTTAAATAAATAAATAAATATTGTGCAAAAATATAAAATGTACAAAGTTAAAAAAATATGGACTCATGACGTCAGTTTTCTGGACATCAAATGTATTTCCTGCTTGGACAAACTCATTTTCTGTTCTGTCAAAACAAAAGGTCGTTTCAGAAATTTAAATAAAAGTATTCAAAATAAGAACAAGATTCTGTCTCTCTGTTTAAGTTATAACACACATATATAAACTTAAAGTGTGAATTCACATTTTACAGTTACATTAAAAGTCTGCACCTTTTCTCCACCTGTGATCTGGGATTTATTACAACGGTTCTGATTTTCAGTGTGGTTTAAAATATAATTGTTCATGCAAAACAGAGACGTTTAACACCTTTGTAAAACCTGTGATAACGGATTGATTCTACGAAGTCTCCAGGGATTATTTTATCAGATTTTATCTCTCAGTAATTAATCATGAACACAAAGTTTTAGTTTTGCTTGCAGAAGATCTAAAACTTTTCTTTAATTATTGAAGTTAAAATATAAAAGTGTCTTTATGTAAACAGGTGGTGACGTACAGGTTAGAGCTGCTGGGATGATTTCATATAATATTAGAAATTTTTTGTTAATTTTACACTTTAACTCCTCTTTTTAGCATTCATAACACTTGATAAATGCTTTACAACACGGCAGACTTTATTACTGCTAAATGACAACAGTAAGAACTTCTCCTCTAAAGCAAGACATCTTCCAGAGCTTTCAGCTGCAGCTCATGGTCTTCATCAGTGGAGTTTGTTCAGTTGTCATGAGAGTGAAGAAGAAATATTTTGTCATGTCTGCTTACACCTAAATTATAGCGTGTTATAAACCATTTATTAAGTCTTTATGTACGTTTATAACTACTGGGGGGGGGGCACGAGTTTCCTGAATCATTGGACCAAACTGTTGAGTTACGTCCTGACAAATCCGCTGTGAGTCAAGTCACGTAACTTACGTGACTTATGTTACTTATTACGAGAGCGAAGTCATGTGACGTAACTCTCATGATTTAGCTTACGCGAATTTGCTTACATGACGTAAGTAATATCACATGATGTGGTTGTGAGCAAAGTCACGCGAGGTATCTCACGACATGAGAAAAGTAACGTAAGTCACGTGACTCGACTCAAGTGACGTAAGTAGCGTAAGCCATGTGATCGTGAGCAAAGTCACGGGATGTAAGTCACGTGATTTAGCTTACATATAAGTAATGTTGTCACATGATGTGTTTGTGAGCAAAGTCACGTGACGTATCTCACGACATGAGCAAAGTCAGGTGACGTTTGTAACGTAAGTAACGTGACACGACTCAAGCGACGGAAGTAGCGTAAGTCACAAACTTACTCACGTGATTTAGCTTATGTGACTCAAGTGACGTAAGTTAAGTCATGTGACTTACGTTAGCTCCAGTACGTATTGTCAGCTGTAGAGCTCGTGCTGTATTTGATGCTTTGTTGATGTTTGTATGTCGTTCCTCAAATGTAAGTCAAGCGTCTGCCAAATAAGTAAATGTAAATGATAAACATCATGTGACTTATCTACGTCGCTGCACTGGTACTTTCCAACGCTCGCATAAGATTTTTTGTCGTTTAGGTTTGAGGACGTGTTGGACAAATCACATTTCACCCTCAGTTTGGTGGAAGCGCTCTAAAGACCACATCGCCCGTGAACCTCAGGGGTGAGAAGCCATGACGGATTCCTTGTGTCAGGTTCAATGATCCGGGAGGGTAATTTGCGAATCCTACAATGGCGAAGGCTTGACCCGCCTTACTCTGCCTCTGATTGGCTCAGCCTGGCGATGACAGAAGTTCCTGCTGTTCTGCTATCAAGATGGACTGCATTTAGAAGAACGGCTTAACAGAAGCACTTCCTGTTGTTTCAGCGAGGGCTACGTGAGAAACATCATCATCATCAGGCTGAGCCAATCAGAGGAAGAGTAGGGCGTGTCAAACATTCGCCATGGTAGGAGTCGCAAATTTGATCCCAGGAGACATCTGTAGTTCTGTATCTAAGAGAGTTCCTGTCCCAGAGGCTCGGCCCACCTACCACACTCTGATCAGGGATCAGGTCCCGATCGATTGACGGGTCCCTGATCATTGGTTCCCCTGTCGACAGGTCCCTGACGGGTCGACGGGTTCCGTGTGACTCCGTTCGGAGGAAACGTCAGTTGGGATTTTTAGGAGCTCGAGTCGCCCGGGGAGAGATGAACCAGTGAGAAAAAAAAAAACTGATCCGGAGGATCGATGAGTCAGTGCGATCAACCAGTGAGACTGACAGGAAACAGAATCAACCGTACAACATCGAAGACATCAATCGAAATAAAAGCAATCCGAAGCAGTTCTTTCAAAATAAAAGACCCTCTGGGTGGAGGAGGCTGACGGCTACAAGCAGAGCAAGGCGAGTGTTTGTGTGTGTGTGTGTGTGTGTTTTGGGATGACAGATGGTGTTTGTGATGCCGTCCAAAAGTCCAGATGCCATCGCCATCTCCTTCCTGTCTCACAGGACGCTCAGTGTGTTTAATGTGTGTATATATAATGTGTGTGTGTGTGTCCAGAGGGTCGGTGTGTAAGTGTGTGGCTCAGCAGCAGCAGTGAAGCTCTCTCTCTCTCTCTCTATCTCTCTCTCTCTCTCAGACCACGGTGCTGACGGAGGGATCTGATAGGTTGAGCTGGCCCGTGATGTCAGTCGGGTACGGCTACAGGGAGAAGGACAAAAAGAGACAGAGAGAGAAAGCAAATGAAACGCACATTAATTTAACACAGAGCGAAGTCGACCTCAGAGCCAAGATGCTTTTAGTTCTTATTTATTAATTCAAATTATAGTTTTCTCTTTTGAAAAGTATTTATTTAATCAGTGTCACCTGTGCAGGTAAAACACACCAAAACAGAGGTCAGGGTGTAAATGAATGCATTGATGCATTGACACTGATTATTTTTCACAGTTAAACAATGTATTTTTTAGAGTTGTTATTTATATTATTATCATTAGTGCTATAGTTAAAGTGGGTCCAGTATAGCCTGGCCACTAGTTTAGTAAAAGTTTCTATAAATGTTTTATACAACATTTTATTTAATTGTAACATTATCGATACTATTAAAATAGCTATTTGATATAAATAATGTAGAGTTAATATGTGTGTATATTATTAATGATTATAATATATTATTTATGGATTTTATTTTACAACACAAACACTTTTGGAAGGTTTTTCAGACATAATTAAGTGCTCGGCTCTACGAAGGACAGACAGAACTAGCCTAGCTTGCTAACGTTCATCCTGCATTATACAATAAGGGGGTCTTGCTAGCCAGCAGTTGGAAAAACATTTTAATTTCTTGGAAAAGATAAATCTAAATGTCACTTTTTGGAGGGGAAATGAGATTAAAGCAGGACGGGCGATGTCGGTTCTTCTTCTTAGGTCTAAAGGTTTCAGTCTGCTGCTGCTGAATTAAATATGATCTCCTCTCGTGTAATCTGCCACGGAGAGCGTTAAACTTTCATGTGTTGCGTCTTTAACCACCACAGAGCAAGGCAGCGGGCCTGACGGGTCGCGGGTTCAGATGTCTGATACGCTCTCAGAGGCCGAACACCTGAATGTGAGCAGCAGGAGAATCTGTTCAAGCTTTCATGGAGGTTTGTTGCAGATTTATTTTGGTTTTCTGGAGCTTCAATGTGTTGATAATCTCCCGCCTGTTGGTTAGCATATAAACTGATAATAATGTGGCTGTGCATTGCTGTTCAGGCCCTTTTACAAATGGAACAGACTTTTTGTTTGTCTGCTGGTAGTTTTTCTGCCTTTTTTTCTGGTGGCTTTACAGCTAAGCAACAACCCCGTTCTCATCCCAGGGCGTCACATATGGACGCTTTGTCAAGACCCCTTAGTGTTGCTTTTCAACGCCCTGGGTTGTTTGTTGTAACACATTCTCACTCCAGACTTGTTACGTATTTGACGTTTGGTCAAGACCCCGTGGTGTCGCTTTTCAACGCCCTGGGTACACCTTTAGCGTCATTTTAAGACATTTAATGCTCTGCGGTTAAGTTAGCAACAACAAATATGCAACGTCCAGCAAAGTTAGCAACAATAAATATGCAGCGTCCGGTTAGACTTTCAAAATAACGCTAGCATTTCGAAACATCGCCATCTTGAAACGGCACGTTATTAAAGTTGTGAAACGTTACAATTTGGTTTGGTTTAGGCAACAAAAAGTGCTTGATTAAGGTTACGAAAAGATCATGGTTTGTGTTAAAATAACTACTTAGGTCAGTTTACGCGTAAGTTAACTTACGGAACTTGCATAACTTAAATAAAAATATTTAATGTTGACTTTATGTTTCACATGGGACATGAACCCCGGTACGGCTGCAACGATTAGTCGACATAATCGATGACATCGACTATAAAAATCATTCCAATACACGTTCACAATATCAACGCTGACCACCACATACGGATTTTTGTTTTTATTTTATTTTACTAGGCCTATGTAAAATCTTACATCCTCTCGATTGTCTCTCTCGCTCCATAAACAAACCTGTCCAACACAACGCTGGCAATGTCGGAGACCCAGCTTTAACAAAGTTATTAGTAATGAGTAATGGTTTAAAGTACACCAAGGAACTTCTGGCTTGTGATGCAGCCTACAGAACATTCTCCACATATAAAACCTATAAGCACTTTAGTATGAAAGGTGCCTGTCGCTTTATTATTCTAAATAGACATTGTTAGTGTACAGCTGTGGTTTTAGTACTTGCTTTTAATTTGCTTTTATTTTATATAGTTCCAAAGCAAAATCTTTGTTAAACAGTTTTAAAGTTTAAAGACTTTAAAAGTTTGTATAAATCAGTGAATTAAAGGAGGAGCCTACGCCGTCTTGTCTTCTTCCCTGGTTTCCCCCTGATGTTGATACTGGTGTTCATTCTGAATGGTAAACCTCATTCACTTAATGGGAACATTGGCTAGTTAGGCTGTGGGTTGGAGATTGGTAACTCACTTGAAAGAGATTTAATTAGTTAAATGGTTTACTTAAGGTTAGGATTAGGGGGTGACAAAAATAATCGCGACTATTAGTCGACTAATCTGTTAATTATTTATTCGATTAGTCGACTAATCGAATAAATAATTAACAGATTAGTTAACTAAGAAATTATTAGTTGCAGCCCTAAACCGCGGCCTCCTGGTTCAAAGTCGGGGGTTCTGGCCCTCCATCCACCCCATCACTCAGTCTTTTCTGTTAAATATCAAATATCAAAAACTGACACTACAGGACTTCCCCCACTGCGTTGAACTGTGACGCTACAGGGATCCCCAGTGCGGAATGAATATGCAACGTCTGGTTAGACTTTCAAAGTTAAACTAATTCTTAATGTTGTTTTGAAATGTGCAACAAAAAAAAAAAGTTCATGATTTGGCTTAAAATATCTACGTTACTTACGTGACTTAAATAAAAACACTGACTTTTTGTTTCACACGAACCCAGACTGAAAGTCCAGTTTCTGGCCCATTGGTCCACCCCAACCTCCCCCTTACTCTGACTTTTCTGTTAAATATCCTCCACCTACCTTTAGCGTTCATAAACGACGCTACAGGGCTTACCCCAGTGAGTTCCAAACAGACGCCAACATGTCTTGACCATGCGTCCATATATGATGACTTGAGAGTGAGAACGGGTTGTTATTGTACGTGGAGGGCTCCAAAGGAAAGTTAGCAAAAATACATATGCAATGTCCAATTAGACTTTCAAAATAAAACTAGTGGTGTGAAACTTCGCAGTTTGGTTCGGTTTAGGCACCAAAACTACTCCATTTGGTTTAGGAAAAGATCACGGTTGGGGTTAAAATAAACTACGTCACTTACACAGGATTTAAATTACGTCCGTTAAGTTACGCTACTTAAGTTATGTAACATCACTACAAAGAACAAATGCTGACTTGTTGTTTCACACGGGAAACGAACACCGGCCTCATGGGTGAAAGTCCGGTTTCTGACCCACTTGTCCACGTCGACCACCGCTGACTTTTCTGTTATTTATTGTGGTACTTTTAGCGTTGAACAATGACGCTAAAGGCTGCCATGTGCGGTAACAGACGCCAAAGGACGTTACAAAGCATCCATATGTGATGCCCTAGGAATGAGAACGGGCTGATGATAGCATTTAGCGAGTTAGCTGCTTTGTAGTGGTAAAAAAACAATAGAACGTAAATAAAACAATGTGAAACTGATCTGAAATCTGCGGCGACAGCGTCCTGAGTGAGCGGCATCACCGGTCTGTGTTGCCCTTAAATCAATTCCAGCTCCCCTAAACATTTCTGTATGTCTTGGGATGAACTAGTGGGCTTCATATTGTTAATGATGAGCCTTAGCTTTAGTTTAACATGTTAATTAGTTCTAAAACGATTTGTCTGTCAGTTACATATGATAACAAACTGAATATGTAAGGGATTTTTAGTGTTGGTCGGACAAAACAAGAAACCTGAAGATGTCAGATTGATTGATAGATAGTCATTGGTTGGTGTCGTGATTGGTTGTAAACAGGAAGCTGCTGTGTTTTCAGTTTACAGGTCAGTCGTGCTTGCAGAGGAGGATAGAGGCAGTGTGTGTGTAGCACAGCATGTAAGTCTGGACACCATTCAAATCCACCGAGAGAGAAAAACACTCATATAGAAAAAAAAGAGATGACCACAAAGAGAAATGAGTTAGATTCTGACTCCCCATCACCCTGAGCGATCAATACTGAACATTAACACACTTTAATGAGCTGCAGCAGAAATCTGCTTCCTCATTTCAACTTGTCAATGTTCAGCAGCTGACAGCGTGTGAGAGTTTTAATCCCTGAGAAAAGACACTTTGGGCTTCCCACTCCATTTTGATTCCCCTTCACATTCAAACAAACAGGAGATCTGGAGGGAGAGGGGATGCAAAATGTCTGAAAGACAAATACACAAAGAATCCATCACATTTCAGATCTCTGAGAAGCTGCACTCCTAAAAAAAGCTTCCACAGGCTGAATACAGCGACAGCTCACCTGACGGGAGGGCAACACACCCGTTCTGTCCTCGGAATAACCTTTTTTAAGAGTGCATGAAAGACTTTCCATCTGAGACTGAAAAGAAAAAAAAGAGCTGCAGGCGGCCACTGATGACAGACGTGATCAGGAGCTATTGATTACTCCGGCGGAGACTCCTGTGGGAAGAGCAGAGCTGTAACAACATGTATTTTATTGGCTGAGGGAGACATCACGGTGTCCGGCAGCTTTAATTCACCGGCTCCTCGCTGAAAACGAGACGAGTTAGAGGAGGAAAACAAGTCTCTGCCAGCCGACCTGTGAGGACGAAGAGCCGATTGTTAAAACCTCTTTGTTCTAAGAGCATCGACAGTGATGGTGGAGATGAAGGGACAGAGAGATGACAGGAGAGGAAGGAGAGGAAAAGACGAGGAGACAGACAGGACAACAACAACAAACAGGACGACAGCAAGCAGACAGGACGACAAAAAACAAACAGAACAACAACAAACAGACAGGACGACAAAAACAGGACGACAACAAGAAGACAGGACGACAACAAGAAGACAGGACGACAAAAACAGGACAACAAAAAAACAAACAGGACGACAACAAACAGACAGGACGACAAAAACAGGACAACAAAAAAACAAACAGGACGGCAACAAGAAGATAGGACAACAAAAAACAAACAGGACAACAACAAACAACAAAAAGGAAAGGTCCACAGGAGAAGAGAGACCACACAGTCTGACCCTCCTCACTTCTCCTTTGCAAGAGGACGACTCGCCGAGAGATGAAACGCGAGCCCTGACCTGACTGGAAGCATCGAACACAACGCTTTCTGTCTTCAATCTGTTTCCTGTCGTCGCCCGGAGGGACTGATGAGCTGATGGAGGAGGGACGATAAAGATGGCCGACTGACAGACGGGCGGAGTCAGCAAGGAGATGAGGGATGAGATGACAGGAAGAGGAGTTGAGGAGAGGAGAAATGGAAGAGGAGAGGAGACGACAGAGGAAAGGAGGAGAAACCAGGAGAGGAAACAAGGAGAAAGGGAAGAGGAGAAGACACATGTAGAGGGGAGGAGAGGAACCAAGGAGACGAAACAAGGGGAAAGGTGGGAGAAGGAGAAGAAAAAAGGAGAGGTGAGGAAAGGAGACAGGGTGAGGAGAGGAAACAAGGGGAAATGGAAGAGGAGAGAGTAGAGAGGAAACAGGACAGGAAGACAAATGACAAACAAAAACACTGCTGATGGAGAGAAACAGGAAGTGGAAAGACACGTATGAAAGTGTCGAGGTGGAGGATGAAAGAGGAGGAGGACAGGAGGAGGAGGAGGAGGAGGAGGAGGGTAGGTGGTCTTCATCTCCTTACCGTGGCGTCCCCGGAGGCCCTACGCCGTTTGAGGTCGGAGGTCGAAGTGATGGACCTAAAAGAGGTTTTGGGCTCGGGCTCTGCTCTACCACTTTTCCTATCCTAAAATAAATGATACGATAGGTGCACACACACATTAACACACCAGCAGAGACACGTCAGCTACACCCTCCGGTACTCTCCACCTGAGTCTGGGATGCTGTAGGATGCAGTAGAATTTGGTGTAGTGTGTGTTTTCAGTGAGTATTACAGTTCAGCTACTATGCATATAGTTTAACACAGACTGTAGTACAGCTATGGTATAGTAAGATATAGCACAGTGGACTAATAGTATAGTACAGTACAATGTAATATTGTATAGCATAATGTACACACAGTATAATATAATAAAGTATACTACAACATATCATAAAATATAATATGGTTACACTGATCAGCCATAACATTATGACCAGTTGGTGGGATCTATCAGGCAGGAGGTGAACATTGTGATCCAGAGTTGATGTGCTAGAAGCAGGAAAAATGGGCAGCGTGAGGATTTGAGCCACTTTGACAACGGCCAAACTGGGATGGCTGGACGACTGGGTCAGAACATCTCTAAACCGGTCTGCAGTACCTATCAGAAGTGGTTCATGGAACGAAAAGCTGTGAACCAGCGACAGGGTCATGGGCGGCCAAGGCTCAGTAATGTGGGGAGCGAAGGCTGGCCCGTGTGGTCCGATCCAACAGACGAGCTACTGTAGGTCAAACTGCTGAAGACGTTGATGGTGGTTCTGATAGAAAGGTGTCAGAACACAAAGGGCATCCTAGTCACAGACCAGTCAGGGGGCCCCTGCTGACCCTTGTCCACTGCCGAAAGCATCTACAATGGGTATGTGAGCATCAGGACTGGACCGCTGAGCAATGGAAGAAGGTGGCTTGGTCCTGCTTCTAACACATCAACTCTGGATCACAATGTTCACCTCCTGCCTGATAAACCCCACCCACTGACAGGTGCCATGATAAGCAGGTAATCAGTGTTCACTTCACCTGTCAGTGGTCATGTTGTGGCTGATATTATGTGTATGTTACCATACATGTTATCTAGTGTAGTAACAGAATATAGTATAGTACAGAATAATAACAGCATAATACAGTAATAGCGTATAGTAGTATAGTATAGTATTGATCAGTAGCAGTACACAGTGTAGATTCGCAATTAAACAAAATTACACAACTCTTCTCACTCCCCGACTCGTCACATATGGACGCATGGTCAAGACCCATAGATCCCTATAGCGCATCATTGTTCAGCACAGAGGGGGAAGTCCTGTAGCGTCAGTTTGTGACGGTAAAGGCAGGTATATGATATTTAACAGAAAAGCCTGAGTAAGGAGCTGGTTGGGGTGGATGGAGGGCCAGAACCCCGACTTTGAACCAGGAGACACAAGTGAAACAAAAAGTCAACATTAAATATTTGTATTGGTTACGCAAGTTACGTCACTTGCGTAAGTTACGCAAGTGACGTAAGCTAAGTTACATGTTAACTGACATACGTAGGTATTTTAACCCAAACCATGATCTTTTCCTAACCTTAACCAAGTACTTTTGTGTCTAAACCTAACCAAATTTTTAAGTGCCATTTCAAAACTCTAGCGTTTTATTTTGAAAGTTGCTCACTTGATCGCGGAGCCTTAAACGTCTAAAAATGACACAAAAGGGTACCCAGGGCGTTAAAATCGGCGCCAAAGTGCCTTGACCAAACGTCAATATGTGACGAGTTGGGAGTGAGGATGTGTTGAACTACACTGTTTACTGTAATATAGTATAGAATAGCATAGTAATAGTATCTAGTAAGTGTAGTATCCAATAATATAATGTAGTAACGGTATAGTATCAGTATACAGTGTTGTAACACTATGTAGTGTAGTAATACTTATCAGTACCTGTATTGAATGTATTAATATTGACTTTGTACTGTGTGTGGACGCCGCTGACCATCTGCTGAATGCAACAGCAGATTATATAACGCTGCACAGTCTGTCTGCTCCACTGGTCACATGACTACCTGCTGACTGTATGTCCTGTGTGTGTGTGTGTGTTAGAGTCCTGTGCTTTCAGATGAAGCGATGTTTCAGTAAAACACGAGAGCTTCACTCTGTTTTACTGCCGACAGCCACAAACACACAGCGAACAACATGAGGAACACAGGAAGTACATCACATGAAGCACAGGGGTATATCGGGGGGGGGGGGGGGGGGGGGGGGGGGAATGGCGGGTGAAGCCTGAATGAAGGCGTGATGATGTTTATTTATCACATCAGATCATTATACCAACACTCTGCTGCTATAATGCCTTCACCCATATGGTGGAGGGAGGGAGGGAGGAAGGGGGGAGGGCAGCACATGGATGATGAAGCGTGGTGTTTACATCATATAAAGACATCATCAGTTTGACCTTTGACCCGTCACAGTGTGCAGGTATCAGGCACGAAGCACTGACCACGCTCGAATATAAGTCTGCTGTTATTCTGTTTCACTTCCTGTCAGCAAAACTCAGGCCAACGTTGGTTTTTGGGCCGTCACACAGCGCCGGTTTGCATCAACTTCACCAAAGGTTGTGCCGATTATCTCCCCCATCCACGTCACTTTTTTGGAAAACACGTATGATGTCAGGTGCCACACCGAGCATCAATAAAGATCCTAAACCCCTCCCCTTCCAGGGACTTTCTTGAAGCTTGTCTTTTAAACAGCCTGTGTGTAATTCAGGAACCAATTCAAACGGGATATAAACATTAGTCGTCTCTCGCCGTTGACTACCATACATATTTTTTCCAAAATAAGGTCCCATGGTGGTGCACCAGAAGGGGAGGGGCTTCAGCTGGAGACACGCAGAATCCGTGAGGACGCATCTGGATGCAGCGGACCAATGAACGCTCTGGGCGGACCTTAGCTGTCGATATGTCCATTTTCAACATGGCGGCCGGGTCAGAAACGTTCTCGTATTACATCTAAACTAAAATATGTTTCTGAAAACCTTTGAGGGGAGAAAAAGGGAGGCTCATTTAAATAAAAGTTGAGAGCGAGTCGTGTTTATGCAAATTTAGATACGGCGAATGGTTGGTCAACTCGCCGCGGCGTATACATCATGCACCGTGCGGCTGGGTCTCTCGCTCTCCATAGAAAATACAACGGATCCAGAGTGTCTCCAGCTTTGGGCTTTCTACAGTCTGGGTGTGACGAGACAAGATTTTAACACTATTTTAAGAAACCTTTAATGCTGAATTCTATGAAAATTTATTTCCTGCATTCTGATGAAATTTCTGCACCAGTTTATGGTGATTTTTTTTTTTATTATGTAAAGAGAAACACAAAATTCAGGTGGCAGGTGATGATTCAAAATCTATAACCTAACTAAAACAGAATGCAAGTCAGTGCTGCTCTCAGATCAACTTCTTTAATATCATCCCTGCTGAGTCATGATTCAGTCTTCCCTCCTCTTTGTGTCTTTGTTTGAGGAAGTAACCTCTTTAAATGTGACTGTGGCTCCTTTTCACCTTAATGAGAAATTATTTAATTATGATTCAGTGAGAAACTCCTGGACTTTAACAGCTCCTGTGTTTCTGCAGCTTTTCTGCTCATGTTCAGAATCTCTCCCACAGATCTGTGCTCTCTGACAGGTCCAGAGAAAAGGCAGATTATTACCAGACTAACGTCATCATTTAATGAGAAGTCTACCTGGCCTTTACTCTGCTGTGCATTACATTATTGATCCGCCTCCAGACCTTTTGAGCCGACTGCACATGAAACCAAAAGTAACTGAAACACTTCTGATCAGGCAGAAATCTCACCACAAATCCACACAGGTTAACTTCACCAGCTCGCTCGTGGCATGAGATCTCGTCACACCCTTACGCCGCAGGAAGCGTCTCGCCTCACCTCGATGGTCTACACACACGAGAGACGGCGACGCCAAGAGGAGAAGAAGAGCTGCTACGGGAGCCGGGGCGAGGGGAGTTTATTAATTCGGACCCGACCATGAAGCACGCAAGGATCCAATACAGGTGAAGTCGGGTACTCTACAGGTGTACAGGTGGAGTCAGGTACTCTACAGGTGGAGTCGGGTACTCTACAGGTGGAGTCGGGTACTCTACAGGTGTACAGGTGGAGTCAGGTACTCTACAGGTGGAGTCGGGTACTCTACAGGTGGAGTCGGGTACTCTACAGGTGTACAGGTGGAGTCGGGTACTCTACAGGTGGAGTCGGGTACTCGTCAGGTGGAGTCGGGTACTCGTCGGGTACTCTACAGGTGGAGTCGGGTACTCTACAGGTGAAGTCGGGTACTCTACAGGTGTACAGGTGGAGTCAGGTACTCTACAGGTGGAGTCAGGTACTCTACAGGTGGAGTCAGGTACTCTACAGGTGTACAGGTGGAGTCGGGTACTCGTCAGGTGGAGTCGGGTACTCGTCGGGTACTCGTCAGGTACTCGTCGGGTACTCTACAGGTGGAGTCGGGTACTCGTCGGGTACTCTACAGGTGAAGTCGGGTACTCTACAGGTGAAGTCGGGTACTCTACAGGTGTACAGGTGGAGTCAGGTACTCTACAGGTGGAGTCGGGTACTCTACAGGTGGAGTCAGGTACTCTACAGGTGTACAGGTGGAGTCAGGTACTCTACAGGTGGAGTCGGGTACTCTACAGGTGTACAGGTGGAGTCAGGTACTCTACAGGTGGAGTCGGGTACTCTACAGGTGTACAGGTGGAGTCGGGTACTCTACAGGTGGAGTCGGGTACTCTACAGGTGTACAGGTGGAGTCGGGTACTCGTCAGGTACTCTACAGGTGGAGTCGGGTACTCTACAGGTGTACAGGTGGAGTCGGGTACTCTACAGGTGGAGTCGGGTACTCTACAGGTGGAGTCGGGTACTCTACAGGTACTCTACAGGTGGAGTCGGGTACTCTACAGGTGGAGTCGGGTACTCTACAGGTACTCTACAGGTGGAGTCGGGTACTCTACAGGTGTACAGGTGGAGTCGGGTACTCGTCAGGTACTCTATAGGTGGAGTCGGGTACTCTACAGGTGGAGTCGGGTACTCGTCAGGTGGAGTCGGGTACTCTACAGGTGTACAGGTGGAGTCGGGTACTCTACAGGTGGAGTCGGGTACTCTACAGGTGGAGTCGGGTACTCTACAGGTGTACAGGTGGAGTCGGGTACTCTACAGGTGGAGTCGGGTACTCTACAGGTGGAGTCGGGTACTCTACAGGTGTACAGGTGGAGTCGGGTACTCTACAGGTGTACAGGTGGAGTCGGGTACTCGTCAGGTGGAGTCGGGTACTCGTCAGGTACTCTACAGGTGGAGTCGGGTACTCTACAGGTGGAGTCGGGTACTCTACAGGTGGAGTCGGGTACTCTACAGGTGTACAGGTGGAGTCGGGTACTCTACAGGTGGAGTCGGGTACTCTACAGGTGGAGTCGGGTACTCTACAGGTGTACAGGTGGAGTCGGGTACTCTACAGGTGGAGTCGGGTACTCTACAGGTGGAGTCGGGTACTCTACAGGTGTACAGGTGGAGTCGGGCAGATGAGGATGCCAGTAGTTTCCTCAGTAGAATAAGAAACGTCAGACTTAGATAGACGATACTTGATAGTAGGATTGTTGGTTTGTTGCTGCACGTGGGTTTGATGAAGAGAAAGAAAATTCAGAATATCACCAGACTTATACTCAATATAAACATATTATATCCACACATATTATTATATGTATTATATTTTACACCTCTAACAATACACAGCCCTAGTTTGGATTCTTGGAAACTGTCAACACATTCATTTATGGAAAACAAAAAAATAAAGCACACTGATCATGAGTTAAGAGCATAGTTTCATCCTGAGACCCAAACCGGGCTTCAGACTGTGTTTCCAGAGAAGTAAAAAGAGCCCACAAACATATTCCTGGGTCAGTTTCTGCATTGATTAAACATTAAAAGGACAGTGGAAGACTTTGATCAGAGCATCAGTCAGTAAAAGAGAGATAACACCATGAACGCCGTCCTGCAGCAGAGACACACCGATCCTGTTCCTCACTTTGAACCGACTCCACAAATCATTAAACGTGTTCCCAGTAATTCAGATGTGGAGCTGCAGGTCTGCACGAGGCCGTGGACCTCCACCTGCTAGCTGAACTCCTGCAGTCTGCATCTTTAAATGAAAACTAAAAGAACAATGCAGGGGCGCGTCACGCCAACAGCAGCTTCTTTAGCTCACGTCGTGTTCTGCTGTTAAAGCTGCATCACTCACAGGAACTAAAGTGGATTAAACTGGGTTATCTGAATAATCTCTTTCCGGTTTGCACGTATCTATTTTTAGAGGCATGTGTGGGTGAAATGCTCTCCCCTCGTGCTACTGTTCTTCTTCTTGTTTGATTGGCGGGTCAGCTTTACAGGGCAACGTAGCAAACATTTCAAATACTCCCAGCGGTGGTTGTTTTTTCACTTTTAGAAAGCTTGGGGCGAATATGATCATGAACATTATAGCCACCTACGAATGTAGAAATGATCGCGTCAAGCCGGGTTTGAACTCACTGGAGCAAAAACTTCTTCTGGCTCGTCTGCGAAGCCACTCGAACGTTCACAGCTTCAGTTCCTGCTGATTTCTGATTAACTGTGTGAGCATCCAGCTAACACTTAGTTTGGGGCTGATCTAAAACATCTGGTTACCTGAGCGATATAATACCCAAACATGTTTATCAAGAGTTTTTTCCTCGAGGCGACGGCGACATTAACCACAACATTACAGCCCCGTACACACAAGAAGAGTTTAAACAATGACGATCTGAATTAACAATCTGTTAAATAACCGAGTCACAGGAAGAGTAGAGTACAACAGCGTCATGAAGAAAACAAACCACAGCTCCTCTGTGTTTCAGTTTCAACAAACAAAAGCTGATTTTCAGTTTTCTGTTTCTCTGCGGCTGTTAGCATGTCCAGCTGACAGCTCACTGCCAACAGGAAGATATTTTTATATAGACTGTGATCTGGTTATGAACAACGCTCTTCTTCTTCTGTCCCTGCACACGCAGAAAGGTTTCAGCTGCTCACTGCTGGTCTGTCTGGACACACTTTCTCTGAGAGCTGCTGTGTTTCATGTGCTAATCCCCTCTGCTAACGCCCTGCCTTAAGAAACGGCTGTTTGAAGTGCTAATCACCCTCTGCTAGCTAGTTAGCCTTTAGCGGCTAGTGTTTGAAGTGCTAATCCGGGCGGAGAGGCGATGATTATTAATGTGTTTCAGTGCAGCTTCTGACGAGACTGCAGAACATCTGGAACAGAGACTGAGCAGCGTTCTTCTTCTTCTGCATGAGTGAACTTTCTGGAATCAGTCTGATGATCAATAATCTGGGATTATTAAACAGTTTGACCTCTGAGCTGCTCTGGTAATAGCTACAGAGGCCGAAACCCAAATGATGAATCAGTTAAATAATGCACATGACGTGTTTATGTGTGATGTCACGTGTCATGTGATGGATGGCGTGCTGTCAGGTCATCGGTATTCACAGCTTCACTGTCTCTCTGAGGCCGTCTGAAGATGATTTAAAGGCTTTATTTTAGCTTTAGTGTCCTTATGCGTTCACTTTATATTTATTAGAGATCAATAAAGTTTGACTGGGTCTTTGATGGGCTCTAAAAGCTGCAGCCGCCGCTTTTAATGACACGCAGTTATGTTTCAAGGAGATACAAGGTTATCTGCTGGCAGCCATTAAAGTGGTCTGTGTGTCCCTGTCGGGGACGTCGTGCAGGTGAAGCAGAACTCTGCAGCTGTTTTAGAAACACTGCAGAACACTGCAGGGTCTATGTGTCGGAGCAGACACGGATTTCTTGACGGTGTGTGAACGAAACGCTCCTGCGGCAGCCGAAACACGAAGGGCAGCTCTCTAAATATGGATAGCATGGTTTCATATAATCTGTGTAGTACTGTGTCCAGTGTACGTACAGCAGCTCGGTCTGAAGAGCCTTAAACCTGCGTCCTCTCCAGCAGCCAGCAGGGGGCGACTCCAGCGGCTGCAGGAAGAAAATGTTTCTACTTGTCAGCTGATTTATTCCCTCAGTAAACACTTTCCTGATGAGTTTCTGGTCTCAGTCGCTAGTTTCAAGTCTTCTTCAGCACAGCATGATGTTCATTTAGTAAATTATGGTCCCATTTAGAGGAACAGAGACCAGGAAGCAGGGGAGGCTTTAGGGCGGGGCTACAAGCTGATTGACAAGTCGCTACCATGGCAACTCGTATCTGCTGCTCTGCGTTCATTTAACCAGCGCCGCTGAAAAAGCTCGTCAGGAGTCGGCTGCTCATTTTTCACTAAGTACATTTTGTTTAAGCCTGTTTGTCGCTAGCCAAATTTAGCATCCCAGCTAATATCATTAACATGAATTACAGATGCACCTTGCTAACCAAGCTAACTAGCTCCGCCCTCTCATCCAAATATGGTCACGTCTGGTTCTGAAAAACAAACATGGCGACGGCCAAAAGGCCAAACTGGAGCCTTCAAACCAACGGGGGACGTCACGGCGCCCACGTCAACCTCTTTAATACCGTCTGTGGTTTGTCCTCAGGGTGTTTTTCACCGAGCTGATCACAGACCAGCCGACCTTGAGCACATTAACCTTTGATATGAAACAGAAATGAATCAGAGGCGACTCCCGTCTGTGTCGTTCTGCTCACCCGTCAGCAGATCTGAGATCAGAGTGACTCACATCCAAACAGATGAACGTATGACTGTTCATGATTCACTGAAGAGCAGAATGCAGAGCTGGAGGTCGAGTAAAACCGTTGCATTACATTTACTCATTTGTAATTGAATATTCACATGAAAACTTACAGTACAAGTACTAGCACATACTAGAACTAGATTTGACCTTCGAAGCAGCAGAGCACGAGAAAATGTTTGTGTTAGATGTTTATTCTACTTTGTTTTCTGAATATTTGTACACAGTTATGTGTAGTTTAAAACCCAATCAAGCGCGCTGTTTTAGTTTTATTAAATAAGATGTAGTTTTCTTTCATTCTGCAGACACTAACAGCTCTAACAGTTTATTTGTTTATGGACTTCTTATTTGCTACGCTGATATGAATGCTTGTCTTTGATGGTTTTGTGTTTTTATCTCGTTTCAGCTGCTTTTCTTTCCATAAATCCTTCTCCCTGCCGCTGAAACCAAACCTGCTCCCCTGTGGATGTTTCTGTTAGCAGATGAAATAAAATGAACATATTAATAATAAAAATAAAGGCCGTGTTTGCAGCCGCTCATCGGTAAATGAGCCGTGTGCAGCTCCACAGAACAGAAAACCTCTCTGAGCTCTTTATTTCTGACGTTTGTTGCGGTGACGGCAGTAAAAATCAGCCAGCTGAGTGAACAGGAGGTTTGTGGAGGACGAGTCCCCGAGGACGCTGGCAGTCTGTAACTCTGTAAGCAGTCTGGAAAAACGCCGTGTGTTGGTTTTCCCATCATGCCTCAGTGAAGCGCTCTGTGCTGCGGCCGTTCTGGATCTTTCTGACAGCCTTGAACCACAATCTGAATAAAAACAAGGACTCTGCGTGTCTGCAGGTTTCTGAGACATGCTGCAAACAACATCGTGAATATTTCTGTCAGAGGCTGCAGCAAACCTGAAACAGGTTCCTCACGGACCAGAGGGTCCTGTGGGTCAACATCTCCACAGAAAGATTTAAAATTCATTTGAATCCTCATCTTCGTCGGTTTGTATTTGTTGTTATTTATTTATTCTATTTCCAACATTTCTAAAGCTGCAATATTGAATTTTTGAATTTGTTCTTTTGTGAATTTGTTCTTTTTCTTTGCTGAGAAGGAAATGATTGTAAGGCTGTCAGATCTCACGCTGTCAGTAGAGCTGCAGCTGACCAGTATGTGCAGCTGCTGCACTGATCATATTTTATTTATTAATACACATTTTGCATTCTTAAATGACTCGTTTGTCCAGCTTTCCTTTCTGTCATGTGACGTTCTGCAGACCAAATAATAAATAATAATTATTCAATAATTAAAAAGTCCTGCCGCTCATGTTCAGTGGCTGTAACTGCACCACCTAATATATTTTATTGTAAGAATGAATAGTGTTGAGGACTGAAATGAATGCAGATACTCACAGTTTTTAGTCAGTCCTAAACCACTGGCTGGTCTCAGAGCAGTGGACACTTCTTTATCTGCGTTCACATCTAAACTCAGGTTTACAGACCAAATGTTCGTCCAGACAGATCAGCACATTCGCGTGTTTAAATGTCTGATGTTGCCTTGGTGCACAGACTCTCACTCGTTCTCCTTCCTTCACTGATCAAACTAAAATTAAACTGAGATAAACTCCAGAGCCGTTAACGTTTTGCCGTGTTCAGCTGCAGTGACGACAGGTTCATGGTGATAAAACCCCTGAAATGTGAACGAATGACACCAAACAGGTTGTTTTAACATTCAGATCCAGACGGCCCATCGATCCGTACCAACAAACAGAACAGAACATTTTGTCCCTGGGAAGTAAAATATCAGTGCAATACCAGCAGGTTGCAATCACTGAAGGTTACAGCACAGTAGAGTACAGTTAGAGTCCAGTAGAGTCCAGTAGACTGAAGTAGAGTCCAGTAGAGTACAGTACAGTCAGAGTCCAGTAGAGTCCAGTAGACTGAAGTAGAGTCCAGTAGAGTACAGTACAGTCAGAGTCCAGTAGAGTCCAGTAGAGTGCAGTAGACCGAAGTAGAGTCCAGTAGAGTAGAGTACAGTTAGAGTCCAGTAGAGTGCAGTAGAGTACAGTTAGAGTCCAGTAGAGTCCAGTAGACTGAAGTAGAGTCCAGTAGAGTACAGTACAGTCAGAGTCCAGTAGAGTCCAGTAGAGTGCAGTAGACTGAAGTAGAGTCCAGTAGAGTACAGTACAGTCAGAGTCCAGTAGAGTCCAGTAGAGTGCAGTAGACTGAAGTAGAGTCCAGTAGAGTAGAGTACAGTTAGAGTCCAGTAGAGTGCAGTAGAGTCCAGTAGACTGAAGTAGAGTCCAGTAGAGTACAGTACAGTCAGAGTCCAGTAGACTCCAGTAGACTGAAGTAGAGTCCAGTAGAGTAGAGTACAGTTAGAGTCCAGTAGAGTCCAGTAGAGTAGAGTACAGTTAGAGTCCAGTAGAGTGCAGTAGAGTCCAGTAGACTGAAGTAGAGTAGAGTACAGTTAGAGTACAGTTAGAGTCCAGTAGAGTGCAGTAGAGTACAGTACAGTCAGAGTTCAGTAGAGTCCAGTAGAGTGCAGTAGAGTGCAGTAGAGTGCAGTAGAGAACAGTACAGTTAGAGTCCATTACAGTACAGTTAGAGTGCAGTAGAGTCCAGTAGAGTACAGTACAGTTAGAGTGCAGTAGAGTGCAGTAGAGTCCAGTACAGTACAGTACAGTTAGAGTGCAGTAGAGTCCAGTAGAGTACAGTACAGTTAGAGTGCAGTAGAGTGCAGTAGCGAACAGTAGAGTACAGTACAGTTAGAGTCCATTACAGTACAGTTAGAGTACAGGTAGAGTACAGGTAGAGTGCAGTAGAGTAGAGTACAGTTAGAGTCCAGTAGAGTCCAGTAGAGTCCAGTAGACTGAAGTAGAGTCCAGTAGAGTACAGTACAGTCAGAGTTCAGTAGAGTCCAGTAGAGTACAGTACAGTCAGAGTTCAGTAGAGTCCAGTAGAGTGCAGTAGAGAACAGTAGAGAACAGTACAGTTAGAGTCCAGTACAGTACAGTTAGAGTGCAGTAGAGTCCAGTAGAGTCCAGTAGAGTACAGTACAGTTAGAGTCCAGTAGAGTGCAGTCCAGTAGAGTGCAGTAGAGAACAGTAGAGTACAGCACAGTTAGAGTCCAGTACAGTATAGTCAGAGTTCAGTAGAGTCCAGTAGAGTGCAGTAGAGAACAGTAGAGTACAGTACAGTTAGAGTCCAGTACAGTACAGTACAGTTAGAGTCCAGTACAGTACAGTCAGAGTTCAGTAGAGTCCAGTAGAGTGCAGTAGAGAACAGTAGAGAACAGTACAGTTAGAGTCCAGTACAGTACAGTCAGAGTTCAGTAGAGTCCAGTAGAGTGCAGTAGAGAACAGTAGAGTACAGTACAGTTAGAGTGCAGTAGAGTGCAGTAGAGTCCAGTAGACTGAAGTAGAGTCCAGCAGAGTACAGTACAGTCAGAGTCCAGTAGAGTCCAGTAGAGCGCAGTAGAGTCCAGAGTGCAGTAGAGTGCAGTAGAGTGCAGTAGAGTGCAGTAGAGTTAGAGTACAGTCAAGTGCAAAAGGGTAGAGCAGACTGCTGTTGGAGTACAGTTAGAGTAGAGCACAACTAAACTGCAGTTAGAGTACAGGTAGAGTACAGGTAGAGTGCAATAGAGTGCAGTAGAGTGCAGTAGAGTGCAGTAGAGTGCAGTAGAGTGCAAAAGGGTAGAGCAGACTGCAGTAAAATCTGGAGTACAGTACAGTGCAACAAACAGAGTACAGTTAGAGTAGAGTGCAGCAAGACTGCAGTTAGAGTATAGCAGAGTAAAGTAGAGTACAGCAGAGTAAAGTAGAGTACAGCAGAGTACAGCAGAGTAAAGTAGAGTACAGCAGAGTACAGCAGAGTAAAGTAGAGTACAGCAGAGTAAAGTAGAGTATAGCAGAGTAAAGTAGAGTACAGCAGAGTAAAGTAGAGTACAGCAGAGTACAGCAGAGTAAAGTAGAGTACAGCAGAGTCTTGTACCTGCAGGTTCTTCCTCCAGACGTTGACGGCAGCGAAGGCGAGCTGCATCTGTTTTCTTCGAGCGTCTTTGTGTCGTTTGTAGGCGATCTCAATGAAGATGAGGAAGATCCCGGCGACGATGCCACCGGCAACCAGCATGAACACACCTGAGGAGGTCAGGTGACGTCAGGTGAGGTGACAGGGTTTCTACGCACTTTGTCAAAGCCTTTAAAGACCTCAAAATGGAAACTACTACGTTTCCACAGCAGAACGACTGCACATTAGAGCTGCCTAAAGATAATAAAATTCAGTCTCTTGTCTGTAGGTCTGATTCCTACCTGCCATGTTCTCGAAGGTGAGGGTAGCGGGGGCGTTGCTCCTGGAGTCACACTCCTGATATCGAACCCAAGTCTTGTCCAGATCCTCCATGAAGCCGTTCTCATGAGAGCTGAAGAGAAACAAAGAAACATAATAAGACATCAACACATACGAGCAAAGTTGGAATAAACATTTATCAGTAGGGCATCCATAGCCTATCACAAAACTATCCCTACTTATAGCATACTAAGAGGTGGCATCAAAGGGGTCTCAGTGGGGTATTACAAACGTACCAGATGGGTATCATTAAGGTATCCGTGTATCGAAGGAGTATTAGTATAAGTAGGATATCAGAAGGGTATCATGCGAGTGTCAGTGGGATCCTAAGAACATTTGGGTATCATTAGGATATCTGCATATCAAAGGAGTATACAGTAAGTAGGGTATCAGCAGGGTATCACGAGGGTGTCAGTGGGGTATTAAAAACGTACCAGATGGGTATCAGCATATCAAAGGAGTATACAGTAAGTAGGGTATCAGCAGGGTAATCGGGAAAGCAAAAGAGGGGTAGTAAAATATCACTAATTTATCAGTAGGGTATCACAAAGGTATCCATAGAGAATCAGTAGTGAATCAAAAGTTCATATTATTATATTATAATATAAAAGTATTAAAAAAAAGTATTAGTAAGGTACTAGAAGGGTATAGGAGAGTAAACAGTAGGCTATCAGTAGAGTATGGCTAGAGTAGCCATAGTTTATCAGTAAAAGTATCAATGGGCAATGAAAAGGTACCACAAGGTCGTCAGTGGGGTATTAAAACATATCAGATATCAGAATCAGAGTATCAGAAGGAAAACAGCGGGGTATCTGCAAGGTGTAAGATGGGGTATCATAAGAGTATCATTAGGATAGCAGCATATCAAAGGGTATCATTGGGTGTCAGAGGACATCTGCAGACAAGTGTATCACAATGGTATCAAAAGAGTATCAGAAGGTATCGGTATTGTCATTGGGATATCAGTAGGGTATCAGAAGAGTGTCATTAGGGTATGAAATTATGAGGGGTATCAGTAGAATATCTATTTTGTAGCAGTAGGATATCAGAAGGCTGTCAGAAGAGTATCAGAAGAGTGTCAGAAGGTATCTGTATGAAATAAGAAGGGTATCAGAGAAATATCTGTGGCGTAGCAGTAGGGTATGTCAGGTACCAGAACGGCCTCAGCGGGGTACCACAGAGTATTAGCAGAGTACCAGTATGGTTCCAGTAGGGTAGTAGTATCTGTAAATCATCAGGTTGTTTCTACCTGAGAATAGCCAAAGAAACATTCTGTTTCCAAGGACTGTCTTTCCTCATCCCAATCCCGAATCCGGAACGAAAGAAAAGTTCTCCTGTCGTCACCAGATCACACTTCTGCGAAGCCTCGAACTCCAACACAGCGCTGTCCCAGATGAAGGCGTGAAGCTCACTACAGGAGGAGGGGGGGGGCAAGAAAACATCAGGTGGTGGATCAGTACATGTCTACAGATATTTTCACATTACATCTCTGAGGTACAACTACAAACTTCAGGAATATTTAGCTAAATGTATAAAGAGCCTACTTGTCTCTGACGGCCTGGATGGCTTCAGCAGCGCTCTCATAGTTGTGTTTCTCCATGTGCCGGTACATGGTGCTCAGCTCCACCTGCCGTCTGAAGTAGATATCCACCGAACTCTGCTTCACTGTGGCGTAGATGAACTTATCTGATGGGTTACGCAGCTAAAACAACAGAGCAACAATCACAGGGTCAGAAATGATTATTCACGGTCAGAAATGAATATCTCCTGTGGGCCACTGTAGGAGGTTTTTTTTGTGTCTTACTGGGTAATTGCTCCTGATGCCTTCAGGGTCAGAACATTTCAACAAATGGGGCAATAAAAACAGCCTAAAGCAGAAATAAGGTCTTTACCAGAATTAGTTTCCAAGTCGACTCTGAGTCGCCTGTTAAGGCAGAACATTTTACTTTTAGGGTTGCACTTCACTTCTCCATCTTTGAGCATTTTTGTTTAATAAATGCTAAACAATGACATTTTTTCTTCAATATACTTACAATTATGAGGAATATGTTATTCACTCCACTGCCCAGTTAAACTCCAATTACATGGCAGTGTTTTACCAACAAGACTTTTAGTGTCTTTAATCATCTGTTATGTGAAAATATCAGCTTTCCACACAGTTAGATAAAAAAAAAGCATTTACATTTCATGCTTTGACACATTCTGCCATCTTGTGATAATTGACAAAATCCCCTTTAATGTTTTTTTGTTGTGTTTTTTGTTGTGTGTCCTCTGGGGAAAAGATTTAATAGTACAGATGCGTACAGACAACATGTTAACATGACCTGATAAATAAATGAATGAATAAAATAAATGCATTTAAAAAATAACTACAACAATTACAATAATAATAGTAATAATGTGTTGCTCGGTCGTCTGTTTCAATCACCCTTCTCTATTTCTGTTATAGTTAGCTTGTAAAACTTTACAGCCTGACATGCTGTTCCTCCTGTATCCTGCATTGCTCTGTTTACAGTGACAGAGCTAAAAAGTGGTGTGACTGATTAACTGAGGTTTGACTTTGAGGCTTCTTGTCTGATAATTCGAATCATCACCATAAAGGAAGCAGCCGTAGGCACCACGTAGCCAGCAGGAGGAGAAAATGTCAACCAGTACAAACCACTAAGCAGATAAAACCTCTTCTGTTACCGTCTCCTGTGATGTACCTCAAGGCTCCACCTTAGGCCCCAAGTTGTTGTTATATATGCTTCCACTATGATTTGTGTTTTTTTAATAGCTAATTTTGTTACGTCGCTACGCTGACGACACGCCGCTGTACTTCCCCTTGAAACTGAGTGAAACACAATCTTCTCTTTTAAGTTGTCTTGAGGATGTGAAATCTGATCTCTATACAAACTCCATAAATCCAAGTTTTGTTTTGAGTCTGTGGTAAAAACTGACAAACAAATGAATTAATTCAAATCATTAGCAGGAGCTTTTTTCAGATTAGGTCTCCAGCAAATATCGATCACGTTATGATTATATCTTGAGTCTGTCATATGTAGCTTGCCGGTAGCAGCAAGACTCATCACAGGTACCAGGAAGACGGACCGCATGTCACTGGTACTGCTGCACGGGCCTCACTTCATTGGTTACCTGTTAAACAGAATTGATTTCTGATTGATTGATTGATTATTTAATATTCTTTTTGTTATGGTCTGCCATAACCCAGAGTTCTGGGCAAAGACGAGACAAGAGGAGGAACGCTGGTACGAACACAGGCAGACACACTGATTGAAACACTGGTGAATCAATGAACTTGCAACAAGTGAGAGGGTCAGACCAACTAAAATACACCAGGGGTGGACGTGCTGAGACACAGCTGATTCACATAAGACAATCAGTGAAGTAAAACAAGACCATGACACCAAGGACAGAACACCAACAACGTAAAACAGGAAATACTGCAAACATGAAACACCAACACGGCACAACCGTGACACTTTGTGACGCTCTACATGGTTTGTTCGTTGGTACCCGACGCAGAAAGATGTAACAAAGCATAGCTTTTTGACGCTCTGGATATGAGAATGGGCTTAATCTCCTCAGTCGATTCTCTACATCAGACCACTTACTCCTGCTCCACGTTCCCAGTCAAGATCCAAAGGTGACCCAGTGGACCAGTGGACCAGTGGACCAGTTTACCTTCACTGTCAGATCATCATTCTCTCTATCTACCACCACGTTTAAATCCCAGCTAAAGACCCACCATTTACACAACTGCTTTTCAGTCCTTTTAACTACCAAGATAACCCTTAAACTGTTTTAATTGAATCAGTTACAGCTACATATATATTTGCTTGTATTTTAATTATCTTTATATACATTTTACTCGACCTGATTAATTTGGTTACCGTGGACGTGTAAAAGATGGAGTAGATTTGGGGGCAAAAATAATCAACCATAAAGTAATACTGGTTGATATATTTAGATAGAGCAGGAAAAAGCGTTGCCAGTGTCTCACCCTGGGGTCATTGATGCCAGTGATGCGCTCCTCAGGCCGGTCCAACACAAGGAAGGCTGCCAGGTTGGCAGTATATGATGCTACAATAATCATAGCGAATCCTGCCCACACCATACCCAGAATCCTCGCTGAGAAACTCCTGGGAGCTCCTGTAGGGACAGACCAAAGACAGGTGTTATTACTGTGTGGTCAGCCGGACTGTGGGACAAGATGTGTCGGCTGAGAGGACAACCAACCTTCTCCTATCCCAGAGTTCAACAGTACTCCCCATGAGAACCACATGGCGGAGGACAGGGTGAGGGCGTCTTCTTCTTCTTCTTCACTGTTAACTTTAAACCTTCCAAACGGGCTGCAGAGGCACACAGGTACATTTTATTATGCAACATTATATTCTACTGTATTGTTTTAATTTAATCTATTGTGTTGTATTGGATTAAAGAACAGGTTCCCATTTGTTGAAGTTTATCTTTTAATAGTCCTGGCAGTCCTGTTTGTGTTTGTGCTGTAATGCTACTTTCAGACCAAACGCGAGGCATGCGTTGAGCGTATTGATTTATCTTCACTCGCGCTACTCAGCAGTGAACCACCATGTGTTTCCGACTTCCACTGTTGTTGTTAGCTGTTGGCTATTGTTAGCTGTATAACAGGAGGCTGCTTGGAGAAAGTTGAACTACCTGGTGAGTTCGGAAAATATTGATTCCAGCTATTGTTGTACTTTACTGTAAATAAGTTAGCACAGACCTGATCGATCCGAACTCCATTCAGATAATAAGCATTTTTAAAGTTGTTGTCTGGCTGACAGACCTGACAAAGCATGACTTGTTGATATGTTTAACCAATCAGCATCATGTTGTAGTTATTTCGGCATCATTTTGATCTATTTATTGCAACTAAATCGCAGCAAAATGTTTATTTGGGAACATACCGCTGTAGTAAACCAGGCTGTGTTTACTCGCAATGTATGGGAACTACAGGCAAATAGTCCTGCGATCAAACATCAATCACGCGACGCGATTATTAAATTCGAGTTTGGTCTGAATGCACAGTAATTGTTCCTACTGCTCACACGGGCTGCAGACAGTTCGCTTCATAAAGACATTTCAATGTAAGTGATAGAGGACAAAATCCATCCTAATATGAGTTTTACAAATTAAGTGGGAATCTTTAAAAGTGCCAAATTCCCTCGTTGTGTTATTGTTACTTGGCAAAGAAACACAAGGCACAAAGTTCGGAGGATACCCCCTCGCCTCTGAAAATGTGTTTCTGCTGACTTTAACAACATATTATCTCCATTTGACCTCCATCAGAGATGTGTTAACGTCCAGTGTTAACGATTACAGCAGGAAAAAGTTATTCAACGTACACACTGGTGAGTCAGAAATCCTTTAAACTGTGTCATATTGTGTTGCCAAGTGTGGTTACCTGATCCAGTCAGAATCAAAACTGTGTTGGATCATGTTTTACTGTGTAGTACTGTGTAGTATTGTCCTGTAGTACTAGTATCGTGTTGTAGTATCATGTGGTTACCTGAACCGGTCTAATAGGTAAAGCATCACTGCCACCACGTGGACCGACAGACCGACTAACAGCCACAGTGTGCTCTGAAACGGCTGCATGAATGAATCCAGAGTGCTGCGAGGGATTTCCTAAGCACACAAACACAATCATCATCATCATCATCATCATCAATGTACAACGATAATGAGCTGAGTGGATCAGGACTCATCAGCTGTGGCTTAAAATTTATGTTTTTTTAAATTATTCATTCCACATTTTAGTAACTTTAGAGTCACAAACATCATGTTGGAACGCTGGTGTGAGGAAACATCCTGCCGTTGTGGCTGAACGGCTGCTCGCTGCTCCAGTCACACAGAATCCACTGTTTTGATCCAGGAGAACATTGGGAGCCTTAAAAGCACCACGAGGAGGCTCCAGATCTGACCCTGGATCAGATGTGTTCAGGCAGAGCGGCGCCGCCTGAGGGTCGATTGGAAACTATCGACCTGCTTCCTGCTCGCTGGCGGTGAACTGGGTCACGCTGACCTAAAATATCTCAAAATATCCGGCAGAGCAGCGTGACGGACTGACCCAGACTGTGAGACTGTGAGGGGGTTCAGGTCTGTCCACTCCATCACAGTGAGAATAACGGACTCCTTCTGCTCGCTGTGCAGCAAACTTTAAACCTTCAGCTGCAGGAAGTTATAAACCTGTAACCCGGTTCTTCTCAGATCCTGAACTGCACTTACACAGAGTCACTTCTTTTGTTGGACTGGTCGATTTTAAGGGGCTGCTGCTGTTACGTTTATCACTCTTCTAGACCCCTCAGATCATCAAACCAAGCCCTTTTAGCGTCTCGTATGAAAACACAAGTTGATCGTGCCTTTTCAGTGGCGGCCCCAGGACTGTGGAATAAACTTCCCTTGGTTTTCAGATCATCCCCCACCACCAAGACTTTTAAGTCTCGTCTTAAAACACATTTTTATTCTTTGGTGTTTGAGCTTATCTGTCTTGTTTTTCTATCTTTTGCTATATCTGATAAATTGATTGTCCTGTTGTTACGTACCTGCTTTGTTCAGCATTTGGTCAATCCTTGGTTGTTTTAAAATGTGCCACTTCTGTGGATCAGATATCTGATCTCTCAACTGTTACATGTTCATGTTCCCAAGAAGCATTCAAGACAGACTGAAGTCGTCCACGTCACCTCTGCAGGAGGTTTGAGACTCGTTCTAGCTGGATGTTGAAAAGGTGTAAATGCATCCGTCTGTCCAGGATCTTCCCCCCGTCCACAGAGTAACTGTGGACCAAATGTCTGATGGTCCCAGCAGGCTGCCTGCTCTCCGTGTGACGACAGCTGCTAAAGTTTCACTGAAATCATGTCTACACATAAAATCTGATCCCTGATCAGGTCAGCTTCTGAAGCATCTGAAACACATTTGTGTTTTGAAGGACTCCTTTAAACACAGCAGAAGTCGGCTCACCTTCTTGACGAGGATGGTGAGCCCCTGGTATTTGAAGGGTTTGGAGAACTCGATGTACTGAGCGCGCTCGTTGTTGATGGTGAGGGGAGCGACGATCATGTCGGCCAGACCTCCCAGCAGCTCCCCCATCATCCCGTTCCACTCCTTCTTATTACTGTTGTTGACCTGCGGGAGGAGGGAGGAGCACAACACATCACCTCCTGCAGTGTGCAGCACAACTCTGACTTCAGGGTCACGAAGGTGCTGAAGTCAATATGGGCAACTATGGATTGTGTATCGCAATATCAATGTCTATGGTTGGTACAGAAAGGTTTGAATCTTTCTTGTTGCCAGCGACAGGCTCAGACGGTCTTCACGCTGAAAGCTAATCCAGCGTTTCTCGCGGCTTGATTACAAAGTCAATGCAAAGATGTGACTTCCTGTGAAGTCGCTCCGGGCGGCGCGGAAGACGCGTTTGTTGCCACATTAACATGACGCTGAGTCGCGATAGCCTATCAGCGGTGAGATTGTTGAGATTAAAACGCTGATTTATCTTCACTGGAGCTTCTCAGCAGCTTCCGTTCACATCCGGTCCCACGGTTGTTGTTAGCGTCGGTCGGCCCCCCGAGCTCTGCTGGACTACGACTTCATATTTTTATAGAAACTCGACGTTACTTGGAGAAAAGAAAGTGAGGAGGTTGAACTACCTGGTGAGTTGAAAGCTGTCGTTGTACTTTACTGCGAACAGGTTAGCGTAGCCCTGATCGAGCCGAACTCCATTCAGAAAACGGATGAATTCATATGTTTAACAAATCAGCATCATGTTGTCGTTATTTCAGCATCAGTTTGATCCGTTTACTGCTCTTAAATCGCAGCAAGTTTGGGTTCGTACAGCTGGAGTAATGGCGAGTTGTGTTTATTCACGCATTATCGCGTTGTGTGTGAACTCTTGGCAGTTGTCCGGCAATAAAACCCCCGCGAGGAGAGCGTTGCGAGGATTAAATTCTCGTTGTATGTGAACGCACCTTTACACCAGGTGTCTGACAGCATCATAGAAAAGATCCCTTTGAGGGACGCCTGGTGACCCCGTTTGTTTTTAACAGGAAACTCGAGGACAGTTCTTCTTCTGAAATCTTGTGAGAGGAGAGTTTCAGCAGGAAGACGCCGGTGGAAACGTGACTCAAAGCTCGAGAGGGGAGTTTGTAAAGTCTTGCTAGCAGCTCCTCTACGTACACAACAAACTCCTCTCCCTCGTCTCCGCCGGCGTCTCCCTGCAACAACCCGCCTCTCACCAGATTCCAGAGCGAGAACTGTCCATGTGGGATGTTGGGCCAGACGGAGGCGTTGTAACTTCTGCCATGATCTTAAAGTGTAGTTATCTTAAAGTGCAGTCGTGCCCGTGAGCTCAGCTTGTTATGAAAATAATTTATGGCTAAACGCATCGATAAAGTAGCGAGAACCGTGTGACGCGGTAGAAGTACATATGTTTTTGTTGCAAATGTACTCAAGTAAAAGTAAAAAGTATTAGAAGTACAGTTTATTTTAAAAAGTACATGTAACGATTCAGCGCCTTCCTTCAGTAAAAGTATGTAAGTATTATCAGCAACATGTACTTACAGTGTGAAAGTCAAGTACTCATGTTGCAGTAAAATGTTCCCGTCTGCGTTTCTCTGTTAGATCTGATGTTTCTGGATTAATATTCCTGCTGCATTAATGTGTCTGTTGCATTTTCCCACTGCGGGTAGTTTAATCTGCAGCGATGCATCATGGTCTATAAGATCATCATGTGTTTGTGGCGCCGCTGTCCTGTCAGAACCATGTCAACACCCAGTCTTCAGCTTTTTAAAGGTTTTAAAGAGTTTATTCAGCTGAAGGAGGAAGAGGATGTTCTCAGCACTTAAAGGAACTCTTCATCAACTCTTCACCTAGAGATACGGGATGAAAAACTGGAAAGTAACTAAAGCTGTCAGACACATGTGGTGCATTAAATATTCAAATCGTCTCATTGTAGTGAAGTCCAGATTCAGCATCCTTCTGCTTTCAGACACCGATTTTTTATCTGGAAGTGATTTGATTTCATAAACAAATCTTTTATCTTTCAGGAAAATGATTTAAATTATAAATAAATCTGTAAAGACAGAGAGAAGACAGCAGGAGCAGGAGGAGGGGGAGTCATTAGACAGCAGACAGACTGGAGGGAATATAAAAAGGAGAAGAGGATGTGATAGAGGAGGTGAGAGGAGAGACGGCAGCTAAGAGAGCAGCAGAGAGAGACAGAGAGAGAGAGACAGTAATGACTTAATGTCTCTCAGCCTCAGCAAGGTCACAACAAGGGACAGAGCGGTGGTCGCCATGGCAACAAGCCTCGGCAACGTGCTGGTGTTGAATCAGTAAACAGGTTGGAGAGAGAGAGAGAGAGAGAGAGAGAGCGAGCCACAGCGACATCATCATCGTCGTCATTGTTTTTTAAAGTCAACATTTCCTTTCCCCGACAGACCCGAGCTCTGAGCCGGCTCTTCTCTTCTCTTTGCTTTTTAAAGAGAATATTTAGAGGAAATACAAACATTGCAGAGTCAGTTCTGTTTAATACCCCAGTAAACATGCAGGTCTTCCAGTCCACAACAACCTGTATGTTGCCTGAGAGGCGAAACCCAGGGTGTAAAATGTCTGATTGGGGAGATTCCTTGCACACTTTAGTCATCAGCTCAGGATCTGCTGAAGCACGATGCTATGTCTTTATTTATTCTGTTGCCTTGCTTGTATTGACCAAATAACGATAATCTGGCATATTTTCACTGAAGTGCAGCAGGGCAATAAAATGACAAATTCACAAATGTTTGATTTAATTCATCTAATTTTTTAATTATGATATTTATTTTCTTGAGGAAAAAAGATTTTACCTGATTTTACTGGTGCTTGTCTTGAACAGATTTGATGATAATCTGATTGTTGTGTCTCAGATTTGAGAAGTGAGCCACAGTTTGGCATCAATTCCCCGTCACTCAGGAGCAAAAAGCAGCCTTTAGAATGATTTTAAAATAAATAGATAAATAGTGACAAAATCCACGTGAAACACTGAGCCACTTACTCGCTCCTGTGTGCCAAATTTCCCATCAGCCACCAGGTGAACCTCATAGGTGAAGTTCATGCTCATCGCCAGCTTGATGAGCAGGTCGATGCAGAAACCATAGCAACACTGAGGGACGGTGGGCTGACCTGGAGACACACAAGCATAAAGCGTAAAGAAGAAGGCGTGTGGGTTTGTGTTTCCGTGACGACCAGTGCCTCGCTTCTTCCTGCGAGCGACAACAAATATTTCTACACAATATTTTCCGCCAAAGTTTAACCAGTTTGGGCCATTTTGGGTTCCGTTTAGGGTTCAGTGTATCTGTGTACCTGGGGTGGTCCCGTTGGGTCCGGTACAGATCACCTTCTTGATTAAGACTCCGTTGACGGTGTACTCCTCTTTACACGTCCCGTCAGTCTTTGTTGGCTTCACGTAAACAAACGGCTCCTGATGGATCGTCACAATCTGAACACACACACATAAACACTGTTTAATAAAGCTGCTCTAACTGTAAAGCTGAGTGCAGCAAATTCTCGCTATTTACACATATTTTGACCCGTGGACCGTTTGTGCAGTCTGTGTTTATTTGACCATCTGTGCTGACGTTAGCTGTTAGCTACCAGCAGTGTTTGACATGTTGGTGTTCTAGGCGGCCGCATGCAGCCACATATGCTCGCTCCTCGATGTAGACCACCGAAAAAAGCCACTCGGAGAAACAAACGCTGTCTGGACACGACATCAGAGACCTGCTGCGGCTCTCTAAGGTCCTCTGATCCTCGATCCAGGACTAAAACTAAAGGAGACTCGGACAAGGCTTCCGGCCGTGGCCCCCGGGGAATATGTATGGGGCACCGGGGGCCATTACTACAGGCCATCCATTTCTTGTGTTAACCACAGTGAGAGTCAAACACGTTTTCAGCGTGGGTGTTGGTCTCCCCCGAGGTTGCTCCTTGTCTCCGATCCTATTTGTAATATGTCTGGAATATTTATAGATGTCTGGAATACCCTGCTTCGCCTGCTGCCACCGTGACTGACCCCGGATAAGCAGAATATAATGGATGGATGGATTTTTTGGTGTTTTATTCTTCCTCTGTCTGTATTTTTCTGTTGCCTTACTTCTCTTGTGATTCTGCTTCTGTAAGGTAAATACTGTATATGAGTAAAGTTACTTCTCCTTTTATATGAACTGCAGTCATAAAACTCTGGGATAAACCCACTCACACCTTTACAGTTTTGAGCAGAAACAGCAGTACCTTCAGTTTAGTCGACATCTGGTATCCAACTGGTTTCTCCGTCTCTCCTCCGGGCCAGATGATCTTCCTCTGAGGGTTCATCACGACCTGAAACACACACACGGGTTGTTTTGTTTTTCCACGTAGGTCTCGCTGCGACAAGCTGACTAAATGTCAGCATCAATACTGCATCTGCACATCAATAGTTAAAGAGGCAGGAGACTCTGATGATCTCTGTGCCCGTTGAAGATGCTGCACAACGAAACAAATTACTGAGTGATGCCTCGCATGAACTCAGTTTCCCACAGCCCCCATTTATCAGACCCCTACCCGAACACATGGACTCAACATTCACAGTAATCATAGGTTACTGTAGCCGTGGTCGGCGTTATAGAGGTCTGGTTCTGCAAACAACATATGCCGCGTTTTCTTGCCTTACCGCTGACCGAAAGAACTGGATCACCAAGTCATCCATGAGGAACTCTTTGCAACGAAAGGACCCAGTTGAGGTGGTTCAGGCATCGGGTAAGGATGCCCCCAGGGGCTCCTCCCTAAGGAGGTGTTCAAGGCAAGTCCAGCTGGGAGGAGGCCTTGGGGAAGACCAAGGTCTAGACTATGGCTCCATCCCATTTTACCCCTTACCCCTATCACTTAGCCCTACCCCATCTGTTTTGCACGTTCAAGTCTAGGGGTCCCAATTCTTGTTACAATAGAGGGGTTGACAGAGAGATTTTTCAGAGGCACACTCCAAATGGAGGGCTAGGAGAAGGTTCCCAGAATACAAGTATTGTGTTTTTTAATTGGTGACTTAGATCGATTGATGTGTGATATAACGTTAGCATACATGAGTGATTTCCACAGCGGAGGGCGCCATATTGGAGTTGTTTTCAATCGTCGTCATGGAGAAATTCTGTAAAAACTTGTCGTACTGTTATCGTCAGAGCCATCGCTGACTACTGCAAATGCATCAGGTTCCTGAAGAGCTGTTGCATTTCATAGGGGAATGTTTCAACCCCTTGGCCCTTGTAACTCTGTTTTCAGGGCAAAGTGTGTAATGGGATAGAGCCTATATCTCCACACTGGCCTGGGACCAGTCAGAGCTGTGGCTCTGGAAAAGGAGGTTTGGGCCCCCTGTCATCAGTGAGGAACTCATTGTAGAACCGTTGAAAGGAGCCAGTTGAGGTGGTTCAGCCATCTGGTAAGGATGCACCCGGGGGCCTCGGGGAAGACCCAGGTCTAGGTGGGGAGATGATATCTCCACAGTGGCCTGGGGACACCTCGGGATCCCCCAGTCAGAGCTAGCTCTGGAAAGGTAAGTTCATGGCTCCCTGCGGCCCCCGCGACCCGACCCCAAATAAGCAACTTCAGATGGATGGACGGACCACTGACTGATAACTTCACAGTTCCAGTATTATATTATATTTTCACTTTAAGCCACGCAGTTTTAACAGATACAGGAGTTAACAAAGTCAGCTTAAGTTTGAGTGTTACAAGATGATGTGTGCTGGTGGTTTCTTTACTTCACTGCAGGATTATAACTTTGGACCGATTATAGGTCCAAAGTTATAATAGTTAATAGTTAGTTATGTACCATAGTTTTCTACTCACTGTTAACTGTTTCTCTCCCCCCTTCTTTATTAACATGAAGCATGCATCCCCACTTCAGGATTCTGACCTTGTGTTTGTGGGGGAGTATAAACGTTTCACTTTAGAGACTCTCTGGTGCTCTCAGGTGTGGCGGGGTGTATAACCAGGTGTGTCACTATACTGTACCTGTGAGCCGTTGAAGACTCCGACCTGGACGAGGCGACCTGGTTTCTGCTGGTAGTTTAGGATGCTGTAGGTAGCAAAGCGCCGGTCGCCATCGTCGTTAAACTCTATCCGTCCCGTCAGACCGTCGGGGTACTTGGATGACATCAGCACCCTGGGGAGCCAATCAGAGAGCAGCAGAGTCAGGGTCAGCTCGGTGGAAATCCCATGATGCTGCTGCTGTAAAGACACGGAGACTGTCTGCGATACTAAACAAAAGTGATGTAACTGAACTTGATGGTCTATCTAGGTCACAGAGAGGGGCGGCGGAGTGACAGAGTGGTTCATTATCCCAGTTGTGTCAGACTAAGTTGAAGATGAATCCGGATCAGATCAGTGAAGCGTCTCTGACGCTGAAACGAGTCCATCCCGAGGATCAGAAACACTCTCAGAGAGCCAAACTGGATAAACTGGTGGATGCACAACTGTCACGCAACGTTAGGGTTAGGATTTAACTGGACAGCGAGTCTTCAGTCCTGTGAGGGAGCGACACAAACTGGCTTCTCTTTATTCCAAATTTATCTATTTAAAAATGACTAATCACCACATTTCGCTTAGCATTCTAGCATTTCGTGAGGAACTCAGAGGAACTGGCTTTAAAGAGCCAACAAAATAATATTTATATTCCTTGCATGTTGATTATTACTAAATTAGACTTAGATTTTCTCTTCCTGTAAAACGATAAAATATTATGGATCCTTCACGCTGGGGTTGGTACATAATTTTATGTGATTTTGTCCACCTAACCCCCTCCCATCATATCAACCTGCACTTGACCTCATTAGCGTTGGGTCATTGTGGCTAGCGGAGCGACAGTAAGAGGTATGGCTGCATCGACCTGAGCTGTTGGTTCCTATTAACCTCCTCGTCCTCTGTACAGCCTGTCCTCTGCTGAGAAATCCCATCAGCGCCGCAAGATCTCCATTTTTATTACAGTACATTTTGTCTAATGTGTCACCGCATGACCGAAATGAGGAATGAACTTAAGTATCCACATTTTATCAACCCTTTTAATTATGCAGTAATGCCATAAATTAGACTGGTAATGACCTCACGGTTGTGTGATGTCACAGTAATGCAACACGGAGGCAGGGTTTACAGTTTACAGCAGTCAAAAATTGCAACTGTCAATATGTAATTATTTCTATGCCCAGTCCAAGCAGGAACCTCTGGGTCTGAAAAGTGAATCCTTAAACCTGCGTCCTCTCCAGCAGCCAGCAGGGGGCGACACCAATGGCTGCAGAAATAAGTGTGATTGTATAGAAGTCTCTGAGAAAATGTTTCTACTTGTCAGCTGATTTATTCCCTCAGTAAACACTTTCCTGATGAGTTTATGGTCTCAGTCGCTAGTTTCAAGTCTTCTTCAACACAGCATGATGTTCATTTAGTAAATTATGGTCCCATTTAGAGGAACACAGACCAGGAAGCAGGGGAGGCTTTAGGGCGGGGCTACAAGCTGATTGACAAGTCGCTACCAAGGTAACCTGTCAATCAGGATAGAGGCGACTCGTATCCGCTGGTCTGTGTACATTTAACCAGCGCTGTTGAAAAAGCTTTTTAGAAGTTTTTTTCGGCTGTTCATTTTTCAGTAAGTATGTTTTGTTTTAAGCCTGTTTGTTGCTGGCCAAAATTAGCGTCCCAGCTAATATCACAGTTAACGTGAATAACAGATGCACTTTGCTAACCAAGCTAGCTAGCTCCGCCCTCTCCTCCAAATGTGGTCACGTCTGGTTCCAAAAAAACAAGATTGCGACGGCCAAATGACAAAATCGAGCCTCCAAAACGGCAGCGCACAGACCAACGGGTGACATCATATGAAGGAAGTAAGTTCAACTTCCTTCAACTTCCGTCACGTCTGCAAGCTGCAGATGGATATACTTGTGTCAGTTGGCAAAAGAAATATCCAGCTTGGGATCTGTGTTGCATGTCACCACTCTACTGTCCCTACTGAATCAGATTACTTAAAAACTAAATCCTAAACAGACGAAACAGCTTGCTAAGCCACAGCCACTTTCAACCAATCAAATCAGATCTCTCCGGAGATTATACTGCACGCACATTTTCCATTTAACTCAGAAATATGTGACACTGCAGGCGCTCTGAGTGCTGTTTCACTGGAAGAATCACTCTCCTGTTAACACATTTCATAACTTTGCTGTGTTATTTATTTCTACTTATGTCGTTCCACCTGTTTTCACAATGGAAAAATTCCAACAAGACCGACAACACTGACAAGTAACGTCCCTAGTCAAGTCTCAAATCAAGACCGCCGAGCCTAAGTTAAGTCCAAGTCAAGTGTCAGGACAGGCAAGTCCGAGTCAAGTTTCAAGTCAAGTTCTAATCTTTGAGTTTCGAGTCCTAAACAGGTCACAATGTGCTCTGCACCAAATTTAATACATATACATTTAATAAAAATGTTAAAAAACTTTATTAAATAAGGCGCTAACCTGCACAGAAAAAGGCAGAGGCGTGTTGATGTGCTGCACACAGTATTTTTTTATATCATAATTTATATTTGGGCTTGGGGAGGGTTTCAAGTCTGTTCGAGTCAAAAGGCTTAAGCCTACGTGAAGTCACGAGTCATTGGTGCTAAAGTCAAAGCCCAGTTGCAAGACATTTTTGATATTGTAAAGTCAAGTCTAAAGTCATCAAGACTCGAGTCAAAGTCATGTGACTCGAGTCTGCACCTCTGGGTACTGACCGTTTGAAGAGTGGTCCGGTCCTCCAGATGTTGGTGTTTCCCACGCAGCCCCGCGGAGGCTCTGTAATGTTCTCTTTCTCAAACAGCTCCTGCAGAGACTGTGCCACCACGGCCACGGCGTCCGCGATGTGAGCCGACTCGTTCTTACCGTTAATCAGCTGGAGGCCCAGCAGGCCTGCAACACATATAACGCACACACAAACACACATTCACATGCATGCACACGCACACACACACAAGCACACGCACACACACACCCAGCAAACAGAGGTTACACACAGCAGGAAGCTAAAGAGGCTGCTGACTGAAAACTGCCCTCATTCATACAGACACGTTAATTAAAAACACTTTAAATTAATTTTACAGATGTAATTAAAAGAGTGCTTCAGTGTAATTCACACACACACACACACACACACACACACACACACACACACACAGGGCTTCAGGCGGCAGGTCAGTGTTCAGTAATACCAAAATGCATGCTGGGAGTTCACTCTGAGAATCACAGCCGTTTGTCTCTCAGGACAGAGAAGCCTCACTGAGACGTTATGAACTGTGTCTGGTGTTTTCCTTCAGCAGAAACTCGTCACACTGTGACGAAAAGTGTCTACACCTGTCCTCCAGCTGACCGAGAGAGGCTGGCTAACACTGTTAGCATTCCCATAAAAATACTACTGAGAAGCTAGCTAATGTTGACACCTGAAAACATTTGCATTCCCCACAAAGACAATGGTGAACAGCTAGCTAAAACATCCATCTGAAACTACGAAGAACCGCTAGCTAGCTAGCTGTTAGCATTTCCCACTGAAACCATTGGTTGCATTGTTTACCACAGAGAACAGCTTGCCAACATTGCTCCATGAAAGTAGGAACAGACTAGTTACTTCCATCCGAAACTACTGGGAACAGAACAGCTAGCTAATATGTCTCATTACTATAGCTACTATAACATTTCATCCTGAAACTACTGAAACAGCTAGCTAGGTCAATGTTAATATCTCTCATTACAACATTTTATCCTGATACTAGTAGCCTACTGCTAGCTAACATTTCCTTTTGAAACTTTTGGGAACGGCCTGTTAGGACTGTTAAGTCTCCCGCTGGATACAGACAGCTACTGAAACTACTAGCTAGCTAGTACTCATGACACTGAAGTTAGCTTCCAATTTTTCAGTTCTGCAGTTGGCAGAAAGGGAAAATTTAAGAGAAACTCAGGTCCAGATTAAAAAAAAACATCATCACCGAACCTGAAGCTGTCAAATCTGGACTAGATTGTCCCAGAGAGGCTAAAGTCTCTTTAAAACATAGTTTCAGATTTGTGAAACCTCTTTTCTATTTGTGAAAATGAAGAAAAAGGCAGATTTATATGGTCTAATGTGGTTAACATGTAAAAGATCCATATATATTGCAATTTTTCCTTTTCACAAATATAATCTATGTTTTAAAGAAACTTCCCTGGAATAATCTTGTCCAGATCTGACAGCTCTAGCCATAGTGATTTTTGATCTGGACCTACGTTTCCCTTGACTTTCCCCTTAATTACCGAATGGGAAGCTAATTTCAGCGTCGTCTAGTACTCTCAAAGTAAAGTTAGCTGATATTATGCCCTGAAAGGGGAACTACTGAGTAGACTTGGATAATCTAACATTTCTAAGTGAAGGGTTTTTATGAAGCTCTGTTGGGATGGGATGAATCTCTAACTTTACCCACACCAAACCTACACTTTCCTAACTTAAAGGAGACCTATTATACTTTTCCACATTCTATGACTGATCTATAATATAATATAATGTTACAATGTTGGATGTTCATGGCCAAAGCTTCAGATAATGAGGTTAAAGTATTTAAAAGAAATCCCTGTGAGCCAAAACCTCAGATTTCCTCCTGTTCTGAATGTTTTGAACTGCTTTTTCTACCAACGGCTCCGTAATACGACACCAGGAGCCAGACGGAGCCGCTGTTCCATATATGGTCATTTACTCCCACAGCAACACTCAGTCTGTCTGTACCGCCCAACAACAACCGCCTGCTTCAGGTCTTGGCCAATCAGAAGACAGTGGGCTTTCGGGGGGGGGGCTTAAAGAGACAGGAGCATCTACAGCTTGTTTCAGACAGACCCTGAAACGAAGGCCTACATGAAGAGCCAGTGTAAGAAAAAAATTTTTTTGAACTTTGAATCATGCAAAGCTGCCATACAGGAGTCACAGAACTACAATACAGGACTAAAAGAGCAGTATAATAGGTCTCCTTTAATGTTAACAAAAGCGTTTTTAACATTAAGCCAAAACTTAATCATCTCCAGACTCATAAGGTTTTTTCCTTAAACTGAACCTTACAGTTCGGTGTGCTAATCAAACTTCTTCCAGTGAACTATAAAAGCTAACATCCCTCTCTGAAGCCACAGGGTACATTAAGCTAATATTTCTCCCTTCAACCATTCAGTGAGTTATCTTTCCCCCTGAAACTACTGTTTCTTGAAACTACAGCTTTTAACAAATGAGCTACTGTAGCATCCTCATTAAAATAAACGTCCCACTTCCTTAATCACAAACCCACATGGGCACAATCAGCTAACCTAAACTAATGGGTACAGCTGGTTATTCTAATTAAAAACTAATTGTTACAGCCCACCGGTATATCCAATTAAAATGAATGTGTTCCACTGGAGCAGATCTTATTATTTCTGATGCTAACATATGTTAGCGGGCTGTCATTCAGTTAGCTGAAGCACCAAATGCAGAAACCTTTTCCTCATAGTGTGACAAGTGTCTGGTGATGAAAAACAACATCAAAATCCATAACGTCACAGTACTGCTTCATCGGTTTGTTTTTAGGGAATCGTTTCAGAAACAACCTCTGCGCACAATCCTACACAACTGTACCGATACAGGGTGTGGACATAATAACAGGAACACTCAGCACAACACAAATGTAAATGCTCCGTATGCGTAGCGCTTTTCTAGTCTTTGTGACCACTCAAAGTGCTTTTACACCACACAACAGCCCTGCAGCACAAACACACAGTAAATCTGTGATGCTGTAGAGTTGTTACTGTATTGGGTTGTGTTACACTTTAGGTGTTTATGTTATTCTGTCCATCCCCTGTATAATTTAACCTAGAAAAACCTTTAAAACTGTAAAGAAGTTCGGGAAGGTTGCAGATTGTGGTCTAACCATTCCCGCTTTAGTACATAAGCCTCCAGTCCACCTGGTCTTTGCATGAATTTTGTTTTTACGAGTAGCAACCCAAAGATAATGAATACCTCAGTTTGCATCTGCAGCACAACAAACATTGGACAATGTACATTTTGCACAAAAAGTGTGAGACAGACCAGCACTTCTTTGTGTCTTATTTCATTTCTTTCATTAAACTGGTCAGTGTCTGCCAGCGTGTTTGAGGTTGGCTTGATTTGAATTTGTTTACAGGGACGCTAATAGGGCCAGATGTACTCCAGAATGAACTGGATGTATATGTACACATGGTGCCCACTTAGTCTGTAACAGACATGACTCGTGCGGCTCCGCATACAATCGTAATAATTTGAGTTTATGTCAGGTGTTTTTTCATGTGCAAGAAGGTCAGGATTGTTTTTAGAAATGTGACTTGGCAAAACTGAATATTTTTTAAACTAAAACATAAAAATCTGAAGGCTGTCCATCATTTTGACCGATTAAGACTAAGACACTATTTCAGAAATCATGTAAATCCTCTGCAAAGTAAAGTCAAAGCTCGCACTGAAGGTCAGCCACGACCTGAGCGCTCACTCTGTACGGGTATAAAACGGCCTGTCGGTCCCTGCGGAGCGTTCAGACAATAGTCAGGTAGAAGTTTGTTTGCAAGCAATAACGCTAACAAGGCAGAAATGTGCTGCCTTAATCATCTTTGTGCTGAAAGATCTAAAAAAAGAGGCGGTGCTGTTTATGGACTATGCGGCAGGGAAGAAGCGGACAACATGGCGTGGTCATTTTGCAGAGAGATTCGGAGGTAAGCTAAGTTTGGCTGTATTGATTGTTAACTTAGACAGATAGTGTCGGGTTGTCGTGGCACATTTAGACGCCATTCACCACTTTGTGCAGGTGATTGGAGAAAAAAGGCACCGATCGTGGAAAATCTTTCTGACAGATCAGGTCTTTGACCCGACGCTAAAGGTTTTTGTTCATCTTTTCTCTCCATGAAATGCATAACTGTGAGTTCTGTTTGTGTTATATTACTGTGTTCGAGTTGTTTTTGAAAATGAAATGCTATGAAACAGGCTATATGTCTCCTTCCCATTAAAACAATTTTAATTAGTAATAATAGATTATGTCTGTCAAGCGAGAACATCTTGGATCCATTCTCTTATTTTAGGGAGTTTTAGGGTTTTGTTCAGGGCGCTGCAGCCACTTAATCTCCTCACGAGTTGTTGTCGTCTCCCTGGACAAGAGATTAAATAGAAATCTGAAGACTCAAAGCAGGTTAATGTGACAATAAAAAGGTTTTAATCTGAAGCGGTTTCCCTAAAAAGAAATCTCAATCTTCTCCAACAGACACAAAACAGCTGAGGGTCATTTTCAGAGTGCGGCCTTTCAGAGCTACACTTTTAAGAACATGATGGATCATTTTTTGACACATCAGGAGTTCGGGGAGAGACGGGAGGATGTGTAGAAAAAATGACACATCATCTTTTAAGAGTGCAGCAACTGGCTGGTGAGGATGTTTTCTGAAACAAAAAGCCACAGCAACAGAGCGGGGAGCCGATTACCCAGCAGCCAGAGGGGTCGACGAAGTGTTCAACAAAGCACAGGAGGAAGGTTTCCTTTCAGTTCGGTCTACCAGAACCAACAATACGATCATCTGTGGCATTAAATGTGTGTGACACGGGGACATTTTGATCCCAGAAAAGCTCATACATAATATTTTGTACGGAAATTATTATTACGCAAGGAATCATTTAATTTGAGCAAACAAAAAGCTTTTCTGCACTCAATAAATGTATTTGTGTGTTTCCAATTATCCACATAAACATCTCAGATAACCTCTCACCTACTTCCTCACTTATCAGGCGCTTCTCTAGTGACCAATAATCGCAGCAGCAGGTGGATTCGAGACAAACTGCCAATCAGAAATCCTTAAATATACATAAAAATAAATAAATATAGATTTATTGAGCACAGAGTAGATTTTTGTTTGCTCAAATTGCATCGTTCTTTGCATGATAATGTGATTTATGTGCTTGCAAAAACTCTTATTGGGGCACCGGCATCAAAGATTTTCTTCTTCACTGATCAACAGTCTTGGAGAGTTACAGGTTACTGATTACAATTTACCTCATTTAGAATGTAATAGTAGTGCAGTTACTTTATCAAAGTAATGTAACTTACTTTTGATTACTTCTCTAAATTTCTAATGAATGTTTTAAGCTGTTAACCATTTTCAAAGACATCTTGAGAGCCAGTTTAACTGGCTGATGGGCGGCGCTGCAAATTCAAACGGGAGAACCAATCAGAAGCCTCAGAACAGAATCAAACTTTACTTAACAGCTGTGGCTGGAAAGGGAAGACATTGTAAACATGAAAATGATCCAAATTATAGCCGAGCTTTTTATAGAAAAGATTCAGATGTTCCCAGTCATCTGTAATTAAATCACCTAAACTAGTTACTCCCCAGCACTGCTGATCAACATATTAGGGCCGTCCACATACTTTTGGCCATATGGCGTTTACATCCCGTAGTCATCTGGCTGACTGAGTAATCGGCTGACTCAATAAACCCCGCCCACTCCCTGGCAGGGCGGGCTCCGTGTTGCAGTGGGCGAGGCCTCTATTGACCAATGGCAAAGGATCAAGCAGGAAACAGGAAGCAGCGGCGGCATCTTACCAGTGTTTGTTCAGACACACGTCATGGTAACGGCAGCGACACTAGATGTTTAATAGGCCCGCATCCCACCCCCACCCCTCGAACCTGTTTAAAGCACCCCCCCCCCCCCATAGCAGCACATGTTATTGGCTTGTCTACTGTGAGAACGGGCAGACGGGCGGGCGGACGACACACACTAGATGAAACAAACAAAAAGATGTTAGACACATTTAAAGCCACACAGTTACAATGAGCCAGAAAAGAAAACAGTGGTTAGGAACCTTTAAACATGTTCTTTTGTTTGTTTTTTTGTTGTTTTTTTGGGGGGGGATGTTTAAACGTTCAACCAGCAGTCAGAAGAAACCAGAGAGAGAAACACACCAGGAGGCTGAGAAGCTAACTGACTGTGATGAGGATTAGCTTCCTTCATCAGAGAGAGAAAGAGATCTGCAGCACTACCAGAGAGAGAGAGACCGGAGAGAAGGGTGGTGGAGAGAGCAGCCATGTTTCCATCCAGTTATTTTGTAGTCCCGATGAGGATGAAGAACGACAAACATGGTCTTGTTTTTTTAGCTAGCAACACCTTAGTAATCACCTAAGAACATCCGAACACTGCTAACGCCCTCCTTAAACCTGCGTCCTCTCCAGCAGCCAGCAGGGGGCGACTTTAACCTGCGTCCTCTCTAGCAGCCAGCAGGGGGCGACTTAAACCTGCGTCCTCTCCAGCAGCCAGCAGGGGGCGACTTAAACCTGCGTCCTCTCTAGCAGCCAGCAGGGGGCGACTTAAACCTGCGTCCTCTCTAGCAGCCAGCAGGGGGCGACTTAAACCTGCGTCCTCTCCAACAGCCAGCAGGGGGCGACTTAAACCTGCGTCCTCTCCAGCAGCCAGCAGGGGGCGACTTAAACCTGCGTCCTCTCTAGCAGCCAGCAGGGGGCGACTTAAACCTGCGTCCTCTCTAGCAGCCAGCAGGGGGCGACTTAAACCTGCGTCCTCTCTAGCAGCCAGCAGGGGGCGACTTAAACCTGCGTCCTCTCTAGCAGCCAGCAGGGGGCGACTCAAACCTGCGTCCTCTCTAGCAGCTAGCAGGGGGCGACTTAAACCTGCGTCTTCTCTAACAGCCAGCAGGGGGCGACTTAAACCTGCGTCTTCTCTAACAGCCAGCAGGGGGCGACTTAAACCTGCGTCTTCTCTAACAGCCAGCAGGGGGCGACTTAAACCTGCGTCCTCTCTAACAGCCAGCAGGGGGCGACTTAAACCTGCGTCCTCTCTAGCAGCCAGCAGGGGGCGACTTAAACCTGCGTCCTCTCCAGCAGCCAGCAGGGGGCGACTTAAACCTGCGTCCTCTCTAACAGCCAGCAGGGGGCGACTTAAACCTGCGTCCTCTCTAGCAGCCAGCAGGGGGCGACTTAAACCTGCGTCCTCTCCAGCAGCCAGCAGGGGGCGACTTAAACCTGCGTCCTCTCTAACAGCCAGCAGGGGGCGACTTAAACCTGCGTCCTCTCTAACAGCCAGCAGGGGGCGACTTAAACCTGCGTCCTCTCTAGCAGCCAGCAGGGGGCGACTCCAGCGGCTTGTCAGCTGATTTATTCCCTCAGTAAACACTTTCCTGATGAGTTTCTGGTCTCAGTCGCTAGTTTCAAGTCTTCTTCAACACAGCATGATGTTCATTTAGTAAATTATGGTCCCATTTAGAGGAACAGAGACCAGGAAGCAGGGGAGGCTTTAGGGCGGGGCTACAAGCTGATCGCTACCATGGCGACCTGAGACAACTCTTATCCGCTGCTCTGTGTTCATTTAACCAGCGCCGCTGAAAAAGCTCATCAGGAGTCGGCTGCTCATTTTTCACTAAGTACGTTTTGTTTAAGCCTGTTTGTCACTAGCCAAAATTAGCAAGCTCCGCCCTCTCGTCCATATATGGTCACGTCTGTCTTTACAAAAAAAAAAATAAGATGGCGACGGCAAAATGACAAACCGGAGGCTTCATGATGGCGGTCCACAAACTAACAGGTGAAGTCACGGCGGCTACGCCCACCTCTTTATACAGGGCACACTAACGCCACATAATCCACATAATAATGCTTTAAAACTATTTACTGTAGTTAATCACCCTCACTTATCAGTCGCTACTTCTCCAGTGAGCAGTAACCCTACCAGCAATGGGACTGGAGAATAACCTGCCAATCAGAAATAAGTATTATTGATTGCTATTAAGTTTTTCTTTGCATGGTAAAATGGTTTCTGTTCTCAAAATGCAAAATGTTCTCGACATACACCCTAGCAATTACCCATTTGATGCCTGGGAACCACACCCGAACGAGCCCCTACGGCACCGACCATATGGCAACACCATAGAAACCACCCCATAATAACCCAGCAATCACACCAAAAACCCCATCAAGACCTGATAACCGCCTAATAATGTCCACACAACTACATGGAAAAACCACTGCAACCAAATTTGTTGACTAATGATCATATGCACATTGTCACATTTTCATTTCCAGCTTTTAAAAACGTCACATCGAAATTTGTGTTTCATTTATATCATGTTGTGCGATTGCAGCTTATTATTTATTTGAGCATTAACTCCTGTGTTTCTGTTTTATTGTTCCTTTAATTATTGAGTGACTTTATCAGACGTTAATTTCCCATCATTGGAATTATCTTCTAGCTGAGCTCATTGCAAAAGCACCTTGTTTACTGTAAGCTGTGTCAGCGTCAGCATGAAACTCAGTTTTAAATGTGCAGCCACAATGACACCCTGATGTGTGTGAATTTGGTTCAGTTTCAAAGCCTTAAACCTGCCAGTACAAATATAGAAAAAACAGGAGCACCCGAAGACTTGGATCTGTTTTTCTCAGCAGTGACAGGTTTGCTGCGGCGTGTGATTCGGTGTGTGATGTCCAATATAACAGCTTCATTACTGCTAACGGCCCGCTGAAGAAGCGACACGTTCTGCTGCCTTTTTATTCAGACCTTTTTCTAAAACTTGGACACTCTTGGCTCAGAATTATCTTGAGAGTTGAATGGATGGAAACAGGGCTGAGAGACAGAGAGAAACTTCCAGAGGGAGGAGTGAGGAAGAGGAGGCCGAAGCTGACGCACCATCTGGAGCTTCACTCAGAGCTTTGCCGGTCATCTCTCTCTCTCCGACCAGCCAGACGTAACCGGAGCCGGTCATGTTGAGCTGACGGGCTGCTTTGTACACGGCTGCAGCTTCATCCTCACTGCGAACACACAGAAGGTATCGTTACTGTACAAAGTGCTGCAAATATACACTATCTCCTGGTAACCATTACACAAACCCTAAAAAACTCCTAATCAAGCGGCAACCTCCAGCTCTGACGACTGAAGCCAACACTGAAGAGCCTTAAACCTGCGTCCTCTCTAGCAGCCAGCAGGGGGCGACTCCAGCGGCTGCAGAAAGAAGTGTGATTGTATAGAAGTCTGTGAGAAAATGTTTCTACTAGTCAGCTGATTTATTCCCTCAGTAAACACTTTCCTGATGAGTTTATGGTCTCAGTCGCTAGTTTCAAGTCTTCTTCAACACAGCATGATGTTCATTTAGTAAATTATGGTCCCATTTAGAGGAACAGAGACCAGGAAGCAGGGGAGGCTTTAGGGCGGGGCTACAAGCTGATTGACAAGTCGCTACCATGGTAGCCAAAATTAGCATCCCAGCTAATATAACAATTAACGTGAATTACAGATGCACCTTGTTAACCAAGCTAGCTAACGCCACCCTCTCGTCCAAATGCGGTCACACTGGAGGCTTCAAAACTAATTATCAATGCTCTTTCCCCCGTAAATTTTAAATATGTAAACCTCTCTGTGAGAAACTGATTAAAGGCAGTAAAGATCCTTCTTTTCTAAACTCTAGCATTAGCTCAGTCCGTGGGCGAACGGCTTGGGTCGTCGGTTTGAGTCCAGCAGGGACCACTGCCGAAGGTGCATGAGGCTCCATCCACAGTACTACGATTTTGTTAAAAAACATCCGTATAAAATGAACGTTCACGTACACTGAGCATGTGCATGCCGGTGTAAACAGGAAGCAGATTGTCTACTCTGCAGCTGCAGAAGATTTGGCTAAAGAACAAAGTTCTACTAGAGACCAACGAAGAACAGCAATGGTGAAGATTCTTTGCATGGACCGACAACAAGGTGGAACTGTTACCGAAAGTAACACGGGAGGACAAAGACTGTGGCGGCGGGAAACAGACTAGGAGTCGGCACAAAGTAAATACGGAGACATGCACAGTTCAAGTGTAGAAGTGTTATTTTCACAGTACAGAATACTTTAATAAACTAAAACTCTGTCAGCAGCATTGTTTTTCTGCTGTGCATGAAAAATAAGAGCCAATCAGGAAGCCAAATGTGAGCGTCATCATTTTCACCTGTCAGCACCAACACGCTACCCTGGAGTTTAAACCCAAAACGGGCTCAGCAGTGTTTTTAGACTTCAACGCTTTTGGTGTTTGGATTTGCCATTTTAGTCTGAACAGGAGGCGTAAACATAACAGAAGTTTTAATACGTAGGAGTGGATGGAGCCTAATGAAGCCCCTGAACCAACACATTCTCACTCCCATCGCGTCACATATTGACGCTTGGACAAAGCCCTTTGGCGTCGCTTGTTAACGCCCTGGCTACACCTTTAGCGTCATTTTTAGAAGTTTAAGGCTCCACGGTCAAGTTAACAACTCTTAGTAATAACAAATATGCAATGTCCGGTTAGACTTTCAAAATAAAACGCTAGCATTTCGAAACATCACAAAAACTACTTGGTTAAGCTTTAGGCACAGAAAGTACTTGGTTAGGTTTAGACACAAAAAGTACTTGGTTAGGTTTAGACACAAAAAGTACTTGGTTAGGTTTAGACACAAAAAGTACTTGGTTAGGTTTAGACACAAAAAGTACTTGGTTAGGTTTAGACACAAAAAGTACTTGTTAGGTTTAGACACAGAAAGTACCTGGTTAAGGTTTAGACACAAAAAGCACCTGGTTTGGTTGGCTTGGTCATGGTTTGGGTTAAAATAACTACGTAGGTCATTTAATTTTGACTTTTTGTTTCAGACGGGCCACAAACCCCGGTCTCCTGGTTTAAAGTTGAGGTTCTGGCCCTCCATCCACTCCAACCAGCTCCTTACTCAGTCTTTTCATTTAAATATCATATACCTGCCTTTACCGTCAAAAACCGACACTACTGCGTTGAACTATGACGCAATAGGGATCCCCAGTGCGTTACAAACTGACGCAGATGAGTCTTGACCACGCGTCCATATGTGACGAGTTGGGGAGGGAGAACGGGTCCCTAACTGCTCCCCGGGCGCTGCACAATGGCTGCCCACTGCTCCCAACTAGAATGGGTTAAATACAAAGAACAAATCCACATGTTGAACTGTGAACAAAATGTATGTGTTTATGCAACAGCCTTGTTGTAACGTTGCAGCTCCTTCATATATTCTGCAACCACCTCATAACATGGAAGCAACCACACAGCGTCCTAGGGACCACCGACAGTGCACGCTTTATTGTACACACCTGGCAGAGAGGATGATGACTCGGGCCTCCAGGTCTTTGGCTTCCAGCAGCAGAGACGTCAGGTTGGTGTCCTGGCTGAACAGCAGCACCTTCTCCGCCTGGAGGACCAGCGTGCGGGGCGACAGGTGACACCGAAGGACAACGAGAAACGCGGCAGAACAAAACACCACAGAACACATCATAGGACACGCATTATTAGCTTTGAGCCGTCAGCATCCCCTCCCCCTCCCACCCCGACACCCCGCCCCCGTGACCCCAGCCTCGACCATGCTCCCTCTCACCCACGGGAGGAGTGGGGGCGGGGCCAAAAAATGGAGACAAAAAAGTGTTCACGTTCTGCTGAACTGAAAGAAAACTCAAAGTCGAAGCTTGAATACAAAGAAGGAGGGGCAAAAAGTTGTGCGTGGTGTGGTGGCACATGCAAACTGAGGCGCTTTCAAGACTCCAACCAACCAACCAATCAGGGACGTGCATGTTAGAGAGCGCTAGATGCAATTGCAAATTAAAAAAAGATTCGAGTGGAGAGAAGGAGGAGGGGGAGGAGGGAGGGAGGCGGGGAGGACAGGAGCAGGGGGAGGAGAGAGTGGTTCATTTCCCAAAAGAAAAGGAAAAGGAGGTTTGATGTTGCAGAGGAGTGAGAGGGTCCTGGTGGGGGGGCGTTCCTCAGACCTGCAGACAGAGCCAAGCCTCAGCCTGGCTGCATGCAACCCTTCACATGGAGAAAGACTCAGCGGGGGAGGACGAGGAGGTGGGAAGGGGAGGGGGAGGAAGAGGAAGGGCGTCTCTCCTGCGAGCGTAAAACCCATTCCCGGTGTGCAGGAATCATGAAAAATCAAAAGAAAGAAAAGAGATGGTGGAGAAAAGACGTGCCACCAGGATAAGATCTATCTCTGGAGCTGGGCTGGACTTTGGGTGGGCGGGGCTGACTAGTGTTTGGCTACTACTGGGCGAGCTCAGAGATTGGTTGGGCGGCGTGCATCATTTGACCATGCAAGTTTTATACCTTGGGTGTTCTCCTGAAGTCAAAGTTCTGTTGGTCGAGGTTTTCATAGTTCCTGTTTTTAGTCTGATGGGTAATGTGCACAGAGAAAATATGCAGACACAGAAGATTATAGACAGTCAGAAGAAATGGGGGGCAGCAAAGCATCCAACAAATGTACTGCTTCAGGTCGCCGGAGCCCGGAAACACGTTACAGGCTTTCCACCTATAGTCCACCTGTCTGTCCGCCTGTCTGTCCACCTGCCTGCCTGTCCGCCCACCTGTCCGCCCACCTGTCCGTCCACCTGTCTGTCCACCTATAGTCCACTTTTCTGTCCACCTGCCTGTCTGTCCACCTTTCAGCCTGTCCGCCCACCTGTTTGTCCACCTGTCTCTCCACTTTTCTGACCTCCTGTCTGTCCACTTTCCTGTCTGTCCACCTTCCCGTCGGTCCACCTGCCTGTCTGTCCATCTGTCTGTCCACATGTCTACCTGCCTGTCCACCTGTTTGTCCACCTTTCTGTCCACCTTCATGTCTACCTGCCTGTCCACCTGTCTGTCCACCTTCCTGTCCACCTTCCTGTCGGTCCACCTGCCTGTCTGTCCATCTGTCTGTCCACATGTCTACCTGTTTGTCCACCTGTTTGTCCACCTGTCTGTCCACCTTCATGTCTACCTGCCTGTCCACCTGTCTGTCCACCTTTCTGTCTGTCTACCTGCCTGTGCACAAGCCTGTCCACCTGTCTGTCCACCTTCCTGTCCACCTTCCTGTCTGTCCACCTGACGCCTGTCTGTCCACCTGTCTACCTGCCTGTCCACCTGTTTGTCCACATGCCTGTCCACCTTCCTGTCTGTCTACTTGCCTGTTCACAAGCCTGTCCACCTATCTGTCCGCCTGTCTGTCCATCTGCCTGCCTGTCCGCCTGTCTGTCCACCTGCCCGCCTGTCCGCCTGTCTGTCCATCTGCCTGCCTGTCCGACTGTCTGTCCACCTGCCCGCCTGCCTGCCTGTCCACCTGCAGCCTGTCCACCTGCAGCCTGTCCACCTGCCTGCCTGTCCGCCCACCTGTTTGTCCACCTGTCTCTCCACTTTTCTGACCTCCTGTCTGTCCACTTTCCTGTCTGTCCACCTTCCCGTCGGTCCACCTGCCTGTCTGTCCATCTGTCTGTCCACATGTCTACCTGCCTGTCCACCTGTTTGTCCACCTTTCTGTCCACCTTCATGTCTACCTGCCTGTCCACCTGTCTGTCCACCTTCCTGTCGGTCCACCTGCCTGTCTGTCCATCTGTCTGTCCACATGTCTACCTGTTTGTCCACCTGTCTGTCCACCTTCATGTCTACCTGCCTGTCCACCTGTCTGTCCACCTTTCTGTCTGTCTACCTGCCTGTGCACAAGCCTGTCCACCTGTCTGTCCACCTTCCTGTCCACCTTCCTGTCTGTCCACCTGACGCCTGTCTGTCCACCTGTCTACCTGCCTGTCCACCTGTTTGTCCACAAGCCTGTCCACCTGTCTGTCTGCCTGTCTGTCCACTTTCCTGGCTGTCCACCTTTCTGTCTGTCCGCCTGCCTGCCTGTCTGTCCATCTGCCTGCCTGTCCGCCTGTCTGTCCATCTGCCTGCCTGTCCGCCTGTCTGTCCACCTGCCCGCCTGCCTGCCTGTCCACCTGCAGCCTGTCCACCTGCAGCCTGTCCACCTGCCTGCCTGTCCGCCCACCTGTTTGTCCACCTGTCTGTCCACTTTCCTGTCTGTCCACCTGCCTGTCCACCTTCCTGCCAGTCCACCTTCCTGTCGGTCCACCTGCCTGTCTGTCCATCTGTCTGTCCACCTTCCTGCCTGTCCACACGCCTGTCCACCTGTCTGTCCACTTTCTTGTCGGTCCACCTGCCTGTCCACCGTCCTGTCTGTCCACTTTCCTGTCGGTCCACCTGCCTGTCCACCTTCCTGAACACCTTCCTGTCTGTCCACCTGACGCCTGTCTGTCCACTTGTCTGTCTGTCCACATGTCCACATGTCTACCTGCCTGTCCACCTGTTTGTCCACCTGTCTGTCCACCTTCCTGTCTACTTGCCTGTTCACATGCCTGTCCACCTTCCTGTCTGTCCACCTGACGCCTGTCTGTCCACTTGTCTGTCTGTCCACATGTCCACATGTCTACCTGCCTGTCCACCTGTTTGTCCACCTGTTTGTCCACCTTCCTGTCTACTTGCCTGTTCACAAGCCTGTCCACCTATCTGTCCGCCTGTCTGTCCATCTGCCTGCCTGTCCGCCTGTCTGTCCACCTGCCCGCCTGCCTGCCTGTCCACCTGCAGCCTGTCCACCTGCCTGCCTGTCCGCCCACCTGTTTGTCCACCTGTCTCTCCACTTTTCTGACCTCCTGTCTGTCCACTTTCCTGTCTGTCCACCTGCCTGTCCACCTTCCTGCCAGTCCACCTTCCTGTCGGTCCACCTGCCTGCCTGTCCACACGCCTGTCCACTTTCTTGTCGGTCCACCTGCCTGTCCACCGTCCTGTCTGTCCACTTTCCTGTTGGTCCACCTGCCTGTCCACCTTCCTGAACACCTTCCTGTCTGTCCACCTGACGCCTGTCTGTCCACTTGTCTGTCTGTCCACATGTCCACATGTCTACCTGCCTGTCCACCTGTTTGTCCACCTGTCTGTCCACCTTCCTGTCTACTTGCCTGTTCACATGCCTGTCCACCTTCCTGTCTGTCCACCTGACGCCTGTCTGTCCACTTGTCTGTCTGTCCACAAGTCCACATGTCTACCTGCCTGTCCACCTGTCTGTCCACCTTCCTGTCTACTTGCCTGTTCACAAGCCTGTCCACCTATCTGTCTGCCTGTCTGTCCACTTTCCTGCCTGTCCACCCTCCTGTCTGTCTTTCCACCTGCCGCCTGTCTGTCCGCTTGTCTGTCTGTCCGCTTGCCTGTCTGTCCACCTGTCTGTCTGCCTGTCTGTCCACTTTCCTGCCTGTCCACCTGTCTGTCTGCCTGTCTGTCCACTTTCCTGCCTGTCCACCTTCCTGCCTGCCTGTCCACCTGCCTGCCTGTCCACCTGGCTGCCTGTCCACCTGTCTGTCCATCTGCCTGCCTGTCTGCCTGTCTGTCCACCTGCCTGCCTGTCCGCCTGCCGCCTGTCTGTCCACCTGCCTGCCTGTCCACCTGCCTTCCTGTCCGCCTGCCTGCCTGTCCACCTGTCTGTCAACCTGCCTGTCTGTCCGCCTGCCTGTCAACCTGCCTGTCTGTCCGCGTGTCTGTCCACCTGCCTGTCAACCTGCCTGTCTGTCCGCCTGTCTGTCCACCTGCCTGTCTGTCCGCCTGCCTGTCAACCTGCCTGTCTGTCCGCCTGTCTGTCCACCTGCCTGTCAGCCTGCCTGTCTGTCCGCCTGTCTGTCCACCTGCCTGTCTGTCCGCCTGCCTGTCAACCTGCCTGTCTGTCCGCCTGTCTGTCCACCTGCCTGTCAGCCTGCCTGTCTGTCCGCCTGTCTGTCCACCTGCCTGTCTGTCCGCCTGCCTGTCAACCTGCCTGTCTGTCTTCCTGTCTGTCCATCTGCCTGCCTGTCTGCCTGTCTGTCCACCTGCCTGCCTGTCCACCTGCCTTCCTGTCCGCCTGCCTGCCTGTCCACCTGTCTGTCAACCTGCCTGTCTGTCCGCCTGCCTGTCAACCTGCCTGTCTGTCCGCGTGTCTGTCCACCTGCCTGTCAACCTGCCTGTCTGTCCGCCTGTCTGTCCACCTGCCTGTCTGTCCGCCTGCCTGTCAACCTGCCTGTCTGTCCGCCTGTCTGTCCACCTGCCTGTCAGCCTGTCCGCTTGTCTGTCCAACTGCCTGCCTGTTCGCCTGCCGCCTGTCTGTCCACCTGCCTGCCTGTCCACCTGCCTGCCTGTCCACCTGCCTGCCTGTCTGCCTGTCTGTCCACCTGCCTTCCTGTCCACCTGCCTTCCTGTCCGCCTGTCTGTCAACCTGCCTGTCTGTCCACCTGCCTGCCTGTCTGCCTGTCTGTCCACCTGCCTTCCTGTCCACCTGCCTTCCTGTCCGCCTGTCTGTCAACCTGCCTGTCTGTCCGCCTGCCTGCCTGTCCGCCTGCCTGTCCATCTGCCTGCCTGTCCACCTGCCTGCCTGCCTGTCCGCCTGTCTGTCCGCCTGCCGCCTGTCTGTCCACCTGCCTGCCTGTCCACCTGCCTGCCTGTCCACCTGTCTGTCCGCCTGCCTGTCTGTCCGCCTGTCTGTAAACCTGCCTACTTGTCCACCTGCCTGCCTGTCCGCCTGTCTGTCCACCTGCCTGCCTGCCTGTCCGCCTGCCGCCTGCTTGTCCACCTGCCTGCCTGCCTGTCCGCCTGCCGCCTGCTTGTCCACCTGCCTGCCTGTCCGCCTGCCTGCCTGTCCGCCTGTCTGTCCACCTGCCTGCCTGTCTGTCCACCTGCCTGTCCGCCTGTCTGTCCGCCTGTCTGTCCACCTGCCTGCCTGTCCGCCTGTCTGTCTGTCCGCCTGCCTGTCTGTCCGCCTGTCTGTCTGTCCACCTGTCTGTCCGCCTGCCTGTCTGTCCGCCTGTCTGTCCGCCTGCCTGTCTGTCCGCCTGCCTGCCTGTCCACCTGTCTGTCCGCCTGCCTGCCTGCCTGCCTGTCCGCCTGTCTGTCCACCTGCCTGCCTGCCTGTCCGCCTGTCTGTCCGCCTGTCTGTAAACCTGCCTGCTTGTCCGCCTGCCTGCCTGTCCGCCTGTCTGTCCACCTGCCTGCCTGTCCGCCTGTCTGTCAACCTGCCTGCTTGTCTGTCCACCTGCGTGTCTGTCCGTGCTTTTTCAGCAGTAGCCCCCAAACTGTGGAATGAATCCAGAGGTCGAAACAGTCCCCACCCTCGAAACTTTTAAAGTTCATCACGTGATAAAACATGTCAAATGTATTTTTACAACATAAAAGTATAAATGCGTAACTAAACTTCAAGTAAGATGGATAAAATAGTGCTGAGAGGAGGAAATAAAAAAGGTAAAGTAGTTTAGTTAAATGCCAAAATATTAAATGTAATTTCAGGGACTAAAAACACCGGCTGGTTAATAACTGTTTTTTAAATGTCGCCAGCTTACAGTTCAACACTT